TGTCTATGCCCATAACTTGATTTTACATCTGTGAACGATATATGCATATAAAAACTTAGCGATATCTGTATAATTAGCATAAACATTTGATAATCCTTTTTGCGTGCAAAACATTTTTTCGCGCCAATTTCACAGATTATAATCGTTGCGATAACGTAGGCTAGAACTGGCAGTAAATTAAATAAATGACTAATACTTCCCGTCATTATTTCTGTTTATTAAATACGCACATGCATTGTACTCCATGGCCATTATATTAGCAAATATGTGTAAAACTGATTTCGTCATATACATAACAATTAATGTTGGATAAAAATCTAGATAGTGAAGTCATGAGACAAAAAGAAGATGGGTCTTCTACTTTAAACAACAGGGTCAAAGGATCAGGATAATCTTTAAATTTTGGAATGAGATGATCTGTTTAGAATACCAAGCACATGTGTGTTTATCCACAAATTTCTCGAAAACCGAAAGATTTGATCATAGATGCCAACTTACATGAACATCGGTTCAATAGGTTTTCATATACATTTCTGGAGTACACGTATAGGTATCTAGGTAATCGAAATCAGTTGAATTTTTCTACAATACAAGCTTTTTTGAAAATAAGGTATTTTAAATAAAAGCTGTGTTCCTGATGTAGTGACATTAAGTATTAAAAGAGAAGGTTGTGTGATGAGCTCATTTAAAGATTCATGAAAAACCCTAGATTTTTTATTTATTTACAAAATAACTACCTATAACTGTACTTTATTACATTTGGTAATACATTTGTTTTAGATAAATATAAATTATCGTATTCGTATATTTAACAAATATTTAACTGAACCATTATAGGGCTCTAAGGGTAAGTGCAGAAACGCGCTAAGTCTGACTCCCGTACGTCATGTATTTTGACATACATGAGTTCATGCTTTCTAAATCTCAACGTAATCTATATAAATCAAAATTAATCGCCAAGATTAATTCTCGAAGACGGCTAGACGAGCCCCAGTTTTTTTTTAATTCTGAGGAAGGTTTTTATGGAGAGAAATATTTGAAATAAAAATTGTTTTATTTAGTAGGTACTTAATTTTTTAATTTGGAAAACGAACAATATGGGGTGGCATAACAAAATGTTCCATATGTATACATGAAGCTACTAAAAAGGTACTAGTAAAAAAATTTTAATGTCTTCAAATCCTTGAAGAAGATTGCTGGACCAATTGCAGATTTTTTCTTTAACTCTAAGGAATGTTTTTATCGAGAGAAAAATATTTTTATTTGTTACTTTTTAGGTTTAAGTTTTTATTCCGGAAAATTTTAGCATAGCAAAATGTTCCATATGTATAGCAACAAACCATATTAAGGCAATACGTTCGCGGTTGCAGCTATATATTTAATAAAAAGCTTGTTTATATAAATTTGGAATGTCCTTAAATAAATCCTTTAAAATACATATTATGTTCAAAGGATAGAATAGCAACAGACGTTATCCGTATACCAGTCACCATGACACAAAATTCAATGATATTCGTTAATTATGGCTCATTGTCTTATTACATCATTTAATTCAATTTACCAATCATCTGCCAAGTGTATAAAATGTTTAAAGCTATTAAAGAACCTTTATAATTAAATGCTTTCTTCACGTAGGACTACTACTGTTATTTAAAAAAGGGATGTCAGAATGCTAGAATGAATTCCCTGATGCTATATTTTCTATATCCCGAGAAGATTGATATATTATTATATTTGTGGATTAAACTTACTTGATACTTGATTTTATTTTATTATTTTTTACATTGATAGTAACTGTATTTCTATGAAATTAAATACTATACGTATTTAGTCTTTTACTATTGATACTTAAAATGACTAGCATTGCATGGAAAACTAAAACTATATTTATTATAAAACACAACTTTATTCGGAATAATCAAAATCGGAATCCAAAAATCAATAAAACAAAGTTTAGACTATTATACCTGTTAACTATTAGGAAAAAATATATAATAGAAATAAAAATGAGTAATTGCATGAAGTATCAAGACAATAAATGATACTAACCTAAGAAATTCAATGTCATTCTGTGTTCGATCCGAAAGTTTTCAAATAATTCAATTATCTTCATTAATTAGCCATACTCTACTCATATTTGGTCGTAAAAACCGATAGTCGTAACAGCCGATGACGTTGTTATTAAGTACCTAATACTTATTATGTGTGATTTATATGTATAAAATAAAACTGAATTTTATTTATTTTGCATGAAAATTATAATAAAAAGACAATTTTCTACAAAATCTGTTATTTTTATAAGGCGGTCTAATAGTATTCAGCCGGGACCTTTGATTTTGGTCAATATAACCGGTATGTTCTAAACGAAGTCGTTAACGGTTTTGACTGTATTTTTTTATATAATTAAAGTACAAGTGAGGTGAATAAAATAAAAATATTTTATTCTTAAGCAGATAAAACTTTATCTATAAAAAATAACTAGCTTTGTAACAAGACAAAAAAGTTGTTTAAACTTTGGTTTGGTTGCTGTGTGCGTAAGGAATAATCGCCATTGGATGATACCATAAGACCCTTTGTGTGTAATGGGGTCCGAACATGGTTTCCTTATATGTAATTCAGGATCACAATTAGACCAATTCCATTGATTTAGGTATAGAAAACATATTTAATGTAGCTAAAATTTGCGTTTTATCAAACATAGTCAACATATTTCATCAAAATCACATCAGTTTTAATATTCATAAATACACTATGATCTATATCTGAAAATCGCTTACGTCATATTTATTTAATGATAATTTACGAGAAAACATGGCGTCATCGCACTGCTAAAATCTAAATTGGAAAATTTTTGTACATTTAGATTTATGTAATATTAATTGGATTAAAAACGAGGTCGTGGCAACATTAAAAATGTTCTTGTAATTGTTTTTTAGTACATACATAATAATTAAAGGTATATATCTAAGTTGTTAATAAAAAAAAAATATAACTACGGGAAGACATGGACAGCATCGCCTACACATGAACGATATTGATTGAAATTTATTTTATAAGACTTAGCTAGCTATACCTAAATTAATTTAAAATAAAATAAACCAAACTCTTTAAAAAAATCCAATCTAGCTAGCTGTTTAGCGAGCAGTGTTAGCCAAGTGGCTTCCACGTGCGATTCTGATCCCTGAGGTCGTAGGTTCGAACCCCGGCTGTGCACCATGAACTTTGTTTCTATGTGCGCATTTAACATTCGCTCGAACGGTGAAGGAAAAAATCGTGAAACCGGCTTAACTAAGGAGGCTGATCACCTCCTTGCTATTAGATTGACACATGATCATGAAACAGATACAGAAATCTGAGGCCCAGACATAAAAAGGTTGTAGCGCCACTGATTTTTTTTAGCTAGCTGTTTTATGGAAATTTACATAATATATAATGTAGCACCCTGTCTCAGCTAAATACCACTACATTTTTTTTGTATGTCAGAGATAATGTGGCATTCCAATGAGTAGAGAATTTTTTAATTTAGTCCTGTAGTTATTGAATTTATTATTTTTTACGGGCAGGAGGCTCATCTAATTTTAAGTGATACCGCCGCCCAAGGACACTCAATGCCAGAGGGCTCGCGAGTGCGTTGCCGGCCTATTAAGAATTGGTACGCTCTTTTATTGTACCCTAAGTCGGATTGGTTCGCAAATACTTTCGTGGGCAGCAGGTTTACTGGTGCTGCGCAGCAAAAACTGCCTTAAAAATGCTCATTCATTATAAACAAATCTTTCACCTTTATAATAATAATTAATATAATATTTATAGAGAAGTATAGCTAATATTGTTTTACTATAAATCCGTGCAAGTCATTAGCATTACTCGGCCAGAACAATGAATGTTTTATTTTAGACTTCCCAGTCTGGTTTGAGTGTTCCGCAGCTCATGTTTTACCTTTTTTCAAATTTCATTGCCAATGCACCTTCTACAGTTTACTATTTTTATTTGTTAGAAACCCTACTTTTAAACTCCTATATTTTAAAACCAGTTATATTGTGTTGGAGATTTTATTAAAGAGCGGTTTCCAGCCATATGAAAAAAGTTTGAACAATATTGTCTATGAGTTATTTTTATAGATAATGATTTCTCTAACGGCTTAAACATTATCTATAAAAAATATATTGTTTAAAATCCTCACTCAAGCCATCTACAATAATTTTATTGGTATGTCATAGATTATAACAATATAATTGCAATTCCCAAGTGGGAAAAAAAATTGCCACAAAAAATAAAGCAATTAAAAAGGTTCCAATACAATGAACCAATAATTATTTATTACTTCCCATTAATATACCTGTTTATGGTATAGTCACACACTTATTGTGTGTTAAATCATGAGTAAAACTTATTTTTAATTATAGCAAACCAGTAATTAATTGCAAATTCTATTTTTAAAATTTATAAATTCAACCAATTAGCCATAAGACTTAAAAGGTTATTTATTAAATACAAGATCATATTTTGATTGAAATATCACTTGTTAAATAAAATGTTTGGTTATAAATGTTCTACTATTCAACTCAAGCTTAGTTCTAGTTTAAACAATTCAGATCTTCAATTTTTTTTTATGTCTCAATTTTATTACATATTGTTACATCTTAATATAGGTGTGACTACAGCATATTAAAACCTCAACTGAGATTCACTTGTGTTAGGATGAGACAATGCAAGGCAATATTTCCAATCTTTAGTAAATTAAAAAAAAGCAGTATTATATATTTATTAACATAATGGTTATTAATTGTCATCAGTAAACTTCATTCATAAAAATTTAAATCATTATTTTACTCAACTCAATCACGGTCCCAATTTATTATACACATAAAAATTTAGGCTTACCAATTTGAAAAGGGATAACGTCTTCCATAGTTATTTGTTTATATAAATCATGAAATATTATAACATTATCACAACTACAGTGAAAACAAAAGCAGTTTAACGTTGAAGTCCTACAAGTATTAAACATGGCAAAGACTTACCTGTTTTAATCTCTCGACATCAGTACGGTTTTGTTGAAATGATTGTGATGTTGTGACAGTTGAGGTGGTTGTTGTCTGTGTGTAGGCGGGGTATTCTAAATTCACATTCAGTAACTGTGCAGCATTATCACGAGCCTCATATGCCAGTCCTCTGATCTCTAGCTCAGAGGCTGTGTGCATCAAAGATTGCAAGTCCAACTCTTGAACATCCACCGATCCCTTGTACATAAACTCTACCAACAGATTGATCTCCGAGAAAGGTATACCCTTCAATATCACTGTTGGATGCTGACATGGATTGTCCCTATGAAAAATATTTATATTGAAATTATCAAAAATAATTTAAATACAAATTATCAACACATTGTTGAATTACTTTATCATTATTTGATAAAACTAAAACAAATTTAATTATATTTACTTATGTAACAAAAAATTTTCCTTACAAATAACATAAAATTTTAATTAGCGAATGGTTTCGTTTCTGAGAAAAATGAATGATGGATGCGTGTTTATTGATGTGACTCACTTGAAAATTTGTTCGAAGTAAGGGCTGCAAGCCGAAAGGACCAGCTTGTGAGCCTTGAGGGTGCCATCGCGACATGACAGGGTTACGTCTGCGAGCGCCGACGACGAATAGATCGTCGTAAACAGCTGGCTCAGGTTCTGCAGGTGGTTGTTCCACTTGAGGTGGAACGTCTTGTCACTCACCAGCCCCTGCATCTGCACCACCACAAACACTTGTCACTCACTAATAATTCACAACTTATGAAAAATCTACAAAAACCCCTCGGAGCTGCGACCGCTACATAAAATTATAATTATTACAACTTATTTTTAGAACGATGCCCGTAAAAAAACACTATACGTACGCGGTATGACAGTGTAATACTGTAGGTACGCGCCGACGGAATTTAGAGCTATAAAATTGTATTTATATTATATTCGGTAAAACGATAATTATGACTTAAATCAGCCCAGTGAAAATTTCTCACCTCGTTTCCTATTTTCCACTTCCCGAATTTTTACAAATAACACCGAAACATTTCACAAAAATTTTTAAATACTTATTATGTTACACAGAAAGCCGTGTCGTAAAAAACAGAGTGGGGCACGCCGTGGCCCCCTCCTTGCCCCGGCCCCCTCGCACAATCAATATACGGAATATGAGAGCGCGGCGCGCCGCCTCGCCCCCCCGCATGCTTTATTATACCGTAATTAAATATATACAACTATATAAATGTACACTGCTGCACGTATACATTAATAACGCGAAGTAAGTACATACAATTTTTTTTCATTTTTGTTGCAGATAACGTAACAAATTATTAACGTCTTTGAAATTAAAATACTTTTTTATTATTACTTAATACTTTACATGTACCTACCACTTACTTAAAATATTGTTAATTGTTAAATATTGAATTAAGAAACCATTCTATAACGCTACAGTAGAATTATATAATATATTGTATTTTAACAAATAAAAATATTAATTTTATAAAATATACAACGATAATTATTGTGAAGGTTAAATTATTTTATTTCAACCCAACATGGGCCTCTTCCTAATAATAAAATTGTCGGGTGGGAAGTATGTGTGTAAAAAGTACTTGAATCTCTCCTCACAACATGCATAAAATTTTACCCACACATAGGCAATAGTTGTAATAGATGGATCCAAACCGTCTTCTTTTTATTAGATTCCATCCTTTCATTTAAGTACCTGCTGCAGAATGCATCTCTACAAACAAAACAACGTATAACAATATTACATTTAATATTATGGTGCACGGCGCGGGGAGAGGGTGAAACCAGAAATGTAACTATACGAATATGGTTATAACATTAATGAAACCATTACAATATATGGGTGCACTGGTGATGTAGCTACTAGCTATGAACTACGTAATATTGTGTTTGTGTTGGCTTCACAATATTTTATAATACATATTTGATATTATAGACGTGGAGAGAAGGGCGCATGAGCGGTTGCATGAATAATATTTCTTCATTATCCGATATACGGTGTACTTTGTCTGTATATCTAGTTACATAACCTTTCTTTTTTAAACTAGAACTATTTTATACGATTACATGTAACATGTATACAAAGAGCAACTGCCTACAGTTCAAACTTTTTAATGCAGTTATGTAGTTGAAAATATTCTTAAATTATTATTATATTCGTACTTATACTCATTAAGAATATTTCGTATGTCTATTTTCTTACCTATGAAGACATAAATCTATGATATTTAAAAATACATTCTTTTATTGTGTTACCTATAAGGACAAAGAAGACTTATAGATTTATATTAAACAGGGCCTATATTATAAACAAGTACATAAATTTCGACGGATAATACTATAACTTTTCGATAATAATATGAACCTAAAACATATATAAATATTAATATATCATATTCTTATTTTTACGTATGGTGATTTATATGTATGGTATGTATGATACTAGAAGTCTACTACTAGTTTCAAGTTTGTTTTTTCATCTCGGACGATAATTATTTTTAAGTTTATAACGTTAATTTTGGTTGGGCTTTTTGACTTTGACGTCAACATATTTTATTTCAAAATTTCAACTTTGCGCCATTCACAGATTACTTAATATGCGTCACTATCGAATCGATTTTCGTCTAGACTCTAGAGCTTCAAAATTACTACAGATGATATATAAATATATTATCTATGATCTTTTTTGACGTAGCTACTAGCTACTAAACACAGATTAACGGGCTCTACTGACTGTTTATGTTATAAATAATATTAAGTCTTTTTTTTAAATTACTTATTATAGGTCTACCAGAATCTGATGTCAAAAAAAAAGTTTAAAAATTTGCGATTTTGCAGAACATACACAATCATCGATATTGAGCCATGTGCAAGTGTTGACTGGTTAGTAGGAATGGAAAGGACACGTCTTGATACTTTGGTTTATTGGATTTTCGTGTGTATTATATTATGTACTAATATACTTATATAAACTTTGGTTTATTTCAGGGGTTTCTAATACTACCATAAGACGAATTGTTGCCGAAGGCAGATCTAACAGATCGCCTTTATTATTTAGTACGCCTGGAAAAAAGGGAAGGTGGTTTTGATTTAGACTTGAAAAAAAAACCTAAATATCAGAGAGATGAGATTTTTAAATCACACGGCCACGAAGTCTTGAGGCTCCCACCATATCATTGTACGTAAAACCCCATAGAATTAATCTGGGGAATAATGAAACAAAAACTTGCGGGTGAAAACGTCAATATACCTGCAAGTGATATAAAATTTTTAACAGAGAAGAGATTTAAGAAGCTTACTCTCAAGTAGGGATCGATGAATGGCGAAAATCTTGTGAACATGTAATAAAAATTAAAAATCAGTTCATAGAACAAGATCAGTTAATTGAGATGCAGGAGGGTAGGTTTATATTAAATACTGCGTCTTCCTCTTCATATGAAGACTTTTTTATGGATGTGCAGTATTTGTAACCATTTTCAAGTTCTAATAGCCTATAATTAATTAATAAACTCATGAACAGAGTAATTGGAGTTTTCATCTAAATTTCAAACCCCACATTCGCCACAGTAAAATTTTCAAAAATTATCCTTGATCATTGGATAAATTTTTATATTTGCATGTATCACACACAATCAGCCCCTTTAAGGGAAAAAAAGTATCAAAACGTTTTACTCCAATTTCCCCAGTATTGCTAGCGTCAATTTCTTTTTTTCCCTTTTTGCCATCAGATCCTGGTAGACCTATAGTTAAAAATAATTAAATTTGTTATTATCTATAAATAATGGTAACGAAAGAGTTTTCCCGACAGTACAGTATCTATCATAATGTATCTTAGACGATAGACAATAAATGACATTTCTACTTTTGATATGTCAATCATCAAAATGGACTTAAACAGTCACTTTCAAGTGGAAGTATTAAAACTATTCTTCAAACAAATTTGTCAATAGTCATATGTGAGTTTGTGTTAGTGATTCACGTATTTCTACTTCAGTATTTAACTTGTACCTAGCAAAGGAGTTTGCTTTAATAACTCAAGTTAAATAACAGAAACAAGGCTCTTTAATTGCTTATTAAGATTCGTAAAAATATAATATTAATTTTAAATATAAATTGTTCGCTTAATTTAAGGTTCTTTAATTTTCCGTGAATTAAAATGATGGATACAACCTCTAATTTGATTGTTTCCTCACCAAATATTAAATATACTGACGATTTTATCTATTCAGACTATGAATACGAGGATACTCTTGTTACTAGAAATAAGAATGAGCTAGTGGTAAGATTATTAATAATGTTTTTAACAACAAATATAGCATACACCGGCTGTTTTATCGCTGTATTACCTGTTGTGGCGCACTATCAATTACTGAAATGCCTGGAATATTTTCGAACTTTCAGAATGCTTCTTTTTTGCATTAATATATGTGTCCGTCGTGGGCGTGTAGAAATTGACAATTCATCCTATCTAAATTAAGTACATATTATATAAATTTACTACAAAATCTAAATAGATTTTCCTTCTTTTACATTAGGCAAAACCATACCGAACATCACTTCAAATTAAAACAGAGAGGAAGATTGGCAGGGTTGGTGTCATGTTGGTAGGCTGGGGTGGAAATAATGGATCCACCTTCACAGCAGCAGTACTGGCCAACAGACATCAACTTTCATGGAATACAAGAAATGGAAAACTAGATTCTAACTGGTAAGTGTCAAGACACCGAAATATATAGTTCGGCTTTAAAAGAACAAAATATGGAAAATAATGAAACCAATTTAAATTTTTACTATAAATTTAATTTTTTTTAACAGTTCACATTTTTACAATTTTAAACTTGATTCAGGCTTGGATCAATCACACAAGCATCTACAGTTCGTCTAGGACTAGATGAAAAAGGGAATGATGTATTTGTCAAAATGTCCCAACTGTTGCCTATGGTACATCCAGATGATCTAGGTAAGAAAGATAGTGTACCAATATTTTAAATTGCATATTAACTCTGAGTTTTGATATTCAAATCCTGGCTGTGCGTTAATGGACTTTCTGTCTATGTGTGCACTTAACACTCGCTCTGCATGCTTTAGATATAAAAATTCCATGTGTGGGTGTGTCAGGCACAGAAGGCTGATCACCGACATGCTAAGTAGAAAAAACAAATGATCACAAAACAGATACAGGAATCTGAGGCCCAGACCTTAAAAGGCCATTATTAAGTCAGGTGTTATTATGCCAATTTGCCCATATTTTTTCAATTGATAAAAGATGTGATTGCTAAAAATTTATTAATTAGTGACCATATCAGTACATACTCGTACTGCAAATACAAAACTTACAGATTTTTATTACTCGTGCCAAATTAAACATTAAAAATTATTTTGTTGACTAGTCAACTTATTCATGGATACTGCATTTCAAATTAAGATTGTGATAACTAAACATTTTTAATAAAAAAAAGGGTGCGTGTACTTATGTACGCGCGTAAGAAGTTATACTTCTTTGGCATTATTAAAAATAGTTTTTGATTGCATGCAAATTATAAATTACAATTAAATAATCAAAGACTGGAAAAGGAGTCATTAAAGTCAATAAAGTTCAGTTTACATTTGAAAAATTAATTAAATAAATATTTATTATTATTCTCTTACATTAAACAAATAAAACACTATTTATCTTTAAAACATTTTTATTTCATTATACTATTTATTTTTAAGTGACTCTAATGTCTTCATCAGAATTTCGGTTTGTAATTTTAAATTAATCATTACTTGGTTGTGCATCTACGAGGCTTCTCCAAAACTACTTGCTTTCTGCAACAAATAAGAGAATATTAATTTAAGCTCTGTCCATGCAAAACTTAAAATTTTTTATAATTCATATTATAAATTTTTTAACACATTTATATTAATATAATTATATAAATGTGTTAATAATATAATTTGTAGCACATGCTACAGACCTGGATAGCAACTTTCTTTTATTCTATTTAGAGATAGAGATAATTTAAATATAATACCGGTGTCTTCCTTGTAGGTTTCTTTAGAGTTGTTTGGGGATTCTTGTTGTTCAGTTCGACATGATTTTCTTTAACCTTTCTTTAATCCTACAAAATAATAAAATTGTTAAGTTATGTTGTCACTGTTGTGCACACCTTTGTTTGGCTTTTTTAGTATTCAAGTTATGTCAAAACTGATTTATTACCTTGTCATTGTTATTTGTTGGCTTTATTTGCTTTTGGGATATCAATTGTTTCCAAAATGATTTTATTTGTAATAACCTGAAATATATAAATAACATCTATTAATTTAAGTATCATGGTGAGTGGTTCGCACTCAGGTATTAAGGTGTATTATACCCACTGTCCATTATAAGTGGGAATGGGCTCACTTCTGGCAGGACAGAGTTTCGGTACTACAAGTGCAACATGGATGTTTTGAGGTATTACAATATCTCTAACTACCCTGTAGGGGAATAAAGTAATGTTGTAAGCATATGCCTATGCTTGAAAGGTTGAACCTTGAACATCACCATACATCATATTTATAATTAACATTCCTACCTCGACACCATCACAATCAAATTCATTGAAATCTACTTCAAACCATTGTGTCTCGAGAAGGTGATGGTGGCTTTGTTCCACCTCCAGTTTTTGATGTTTCACGGCGATAAGATGACAACTCTTTTTTTGTATTCAATTTAGTGCACTTCCACTGATTCATCAATTGTTTTTTGTCTCTTGTCCTTATATTTGCTAGATTAAATCTGATGTTTTGATTAAATAATGTGGTCATTTTTTTGAGATGCAGGTACTTATTAAAATGTTTACTTCTCTGTTATATCGCTCCAAGCCTTCATTTTCTCCTTATTAGTATTCGTGCTTAAATCTTTGTTCTCAATTATTGATATATAGGGTCGTAGAATATTTCTAAAAAGTTGCTGTAACAAACGCAATAAACAAAAGCAATGAATAATGGTTCATGTTTCAGTTTTAATCAACAATAATACTCGATAATACATACGGATAGTTAACCTCAATTGTATTGAAGCACTCAGGAAGGTTAGCACAGTTTTTTCACAAATATTTTATATTATTTCACAAATATTTTGTATAATGAAAATAACTAGGTATATAATTATTAATTTTAAACAATAATTAAAACTCCTATATTTGTTTAAAAGGTAAATGTCATTGTCAGATGTCAATTGTCATGGTCATTCAAAATTCTTGTTAAGCTGCTAAGCTAGAATATGCGTGAAGTTAGCTTCACGCATATTCTATTTCTTTTTACTTGTAGTTTGTCTTATTCCCATCTCGCTCGCGCACGCTATATCACACTGCCAATTTTGTGTCATAGGTGCGCGCGCAATCGTAAAATTTCACTCTCATCAATTTTTCATAACGCGCCTAAAGAAGTACAACTTCAAAAATATATAAGTTAAATGTAATATACTACAATGTTATCATACTAATGGATACATAAATAAATATAGTTTAAAAAAACTATAAAACACGCTTTTAAAGCACATCAAACTAAAAAGTGAAAAATAATTCCTAATTTAGGCTGAAAATGGTAATGAACAAAAAATACTGGTATTATTGTGAAAAAGCGTGGGTTGCTCGATAGACGAAAAAATATGGCACAGAGCGCCCCACCATTTTCAGCCTAAATTAGGAATTATTTTTCACTTTTTAGTTTGATGTGCTTTAAAAGCGTGTTTTATAGGTTTTTTAAACTATATTTATTTTCCACTTTTTAGTCCTAGCAGCAATACGTGTTGTCTCAATTTAATCGTATTGCTTTGTGGACTTAAAAAAAGTTTCATTGTTTTTTCGAGATAAACCTATGAAATTATTATATTGTTGCTGATTCTTTATAAGTGTACAAAGTTTGAATTAAATCTGTCCGTTTAAAGTGGGTCAAAATCGAGTCCGAAGGAGTCGGTTACATACATACATACATACAGGTGAAGCTAATATAAAGCGTGTAAAAATAATGAGACACATATGTTTTAACTTTCTCACTGAAATCAAGTATTATGTTTATGTTATATTATATACTTTCATAACAATAACATAAATAACATATTATATATGTTACTTTAAGATATATAAAGGAAATAAGTTTATCAACTTTTCTATGCAAGCATTATAGTCCCTTTCATAGATCCCTCTGTCAGAATAGGTTTCTGGTAGGTAGTATAAAATGTTTGCGCTAGGCATTAACCATAGACGGTGCAAGGCAAATGTGATTTCATGTATTAATTCCTGCAGTTAAAGAGAATTAATTTCGTTTTTTTTTAATATGCTATTAAATTTCTAGTTATCGATGGGTGGGACATAAGTCCTTTGAACCTTGCGGAGTCAATGGTACGGGCGAAAGTCATCGACTATGATCTTCAGCAGAAGTTGAAGAAAGAGATGTCAGCTATGAAGCCTAGACCAGCTATTTATGACCCTGACTTTATTGCAGCTAATCAGGTATGATAAACTTTACTTACTAACGCTGAACTGGGGTCTAACAGGGGATTTATTTATTTACACTTCGTTGAATTACAATATATAAATTTAACATAATTAAATGTAAAGGAGGCCAACTGGCGGCCTTATCGCTTTCGAGCGATCTCTTCCAGGCAACCACTGTGAGAAAAAAAATGTACTAAATTAGATAAGGTAGGCAAGAAGTCCAAAAATACTAAACAGGAACAAAAAACAAACTAAACTAATAAAGGATATATGAAAAATAATAAGTAAAAAGCGCACATGAATCATGAATTTAATTTAAGATCACTCTCACGTCAGTTAGTAGTTAGTACGAAAGTTAGGGATACGATGTGGACAGGTAGTGTTTGTACAGAAGAAATTTAAAGGAAGATAGAGAAGGAGCTAAGCGAATAGGGACGGGAACTTTTCCCCAAGATATAGACTATATCAGAAATCATTTTCCAATTTCATTAAAATCCTGAGAACTAACAAAGGAACCATTTGTTCATAAATGCATAATGGGTTTTTAACATACAAGAATCATAGTTTGTGCAAGTCTCGTTAAGAAAAAGTTATTTTAGTTAAAATATGATTTGAATATTTGTCGACAATGCCTACTAATGTTTTTACATACAATAAAAATGATTACCTATTCGTAATAATTAATTTCAATTGAAAAAATACGGTTTATTTCGTAAACTGTAAATAATTGAAATTTGATAGAAGAATTGAGTAAGCATTTACGGCGAAGCTATAATTTATGTTGCGTTTTAAAATATATTTACTAAATGGATAGGAAAATAGGTCATATTATATTATTAAGTATTGTTTCACGCAATGTCTTTTTTGATATAATGATATGCTTTTGGTGCCTCTCCATACTGGAGCTTGACCGTCAGTCTCGTGAAGCTTGTCTTGTCCTGTACTAGATGCATCAACTCTTTCGCAGTCGCATATAAGAATAAGACCGCACACAATTTTTTTAAATTTAACTTAATTAACTAAAATCCGTCCTTAGGTGTACGATTTTAGCAAAAGAGTTTATTGGGAAAAAAATATTGTGTCTGTTCAGCGTACGCTATAACCTCTATTGGTCTGGGCCTCAGAGTTCTGAATCTGTTTCATGATAATTTTTCAATCTAATCGACAAGTGATCAGCCTCCTGTGCCTGACACACACCGTCGACTTTTTGGCTCTAAGACATGTCGGTTTCCTCACGATGTTTTCCTTCACCGTTCGAGCGATGTTAAATGCGCACATAGAAAGTCCATTGGTGCACAGCCGGGGATCGAACTTAAGACCTCAGGGATGAGAGTCCCACGCTGAAGCCACTAGGCTAACACTCTAGTCACGAAGTTCGAATATTTTTCTAGAAACACCATCGCATAGACACAATATAACATTTTCAAAAATACTTGTGATTAAATGTATTCTTACCTCACGCGGTGTCTTCATTGCCCTTTCATATATTTAACTATAGTTGATATATTGAGCTTAATGAAAAAGCTTTTAGAGTGATATCGTGTGGGTTCGCAATCAATACAGGAGTGCATGCGCTGAAGATTTACCATTACATACATTGTATAACTATTGTGTACATTCTGCCATTTCAAAACTTAGTTTATGTTAGAGCTAAAAATAAAAATATTATATTACTCTTTAATGTATAATATTCTACGGTTTCGATATTTGTACATATCTGAGGAACATGTATACTAACTTTTTTATAGTAGTTTTATTCTAAGAGTACATTGTCTTCACATATACTTATTTAACTAATGTAAACAAAATATTGTAAACCTATTTTAAAAGAGTAAGTGTGGAGTTTCTTGCCCATTCTTCTCCACACGAAACTACCTTTTGGAAGGGGCAACTTCTTCTTTGTATTTTCTTTGACGTTCAAAAGTGCCATTTTAGGTGGTCTAATTGAAATAAATGATTTGACTTTGATTTAGAAAAAATTGCTGAACAATTAAATATTGAGTTGTTATAGTATTATAGTAATACTGCTCTTAAAAAGCCTACTATTTGCGCGCTTCTCAACCTAGAGACAGTACGTTTGTATACCGGCGTGCACAAATGTGTCTTATTGCGTAAATATCAGCCATTCTTGATTTCTAAGGCATGTACGGTGAAGTCCTGTTCACCTTATTATAATTGTTTTACTACAGAAAATGTAATTGTATTTGAATGTTTAGTGTTTACTAAATATTCTATTCCAAGACGCGTAATAAATCTTAATAGTTTGCACGTGTACACGTCCAAACACTTTGTGTTCCTGGTACAAATCAAGAAGATAGAACGTAGAAATGGCAAAATTCCAACTTCATTAATTTAATTAATATATATAATTCTCGTGTTACAATCTTCGTTCCCATACTCCTCCGAAACGGCTCGACCTATTCTTATGAGAATTTTTATGCGTATTCAGTAAGTCTGAGAATCGGCTACTATTTATCTTTCATCTCTACTAAAAGATAAGGCGCAAAAAAAAATCGATTTTATTTTTTATGATACAGCATACAAAGATACACACAACCCTTAATTTTCACCCCTCTACGACCAACCCTTATTTTTTATTATTGCAGTTATTTTAAATGATACATGCCCATGGACACTAACATTGCCAGAAGGCCCGCAAGTGCCGGCCTTATAACTATGAATCTAATACATACTCATAGACTTTTTAGTATAGTGGTTTTATTCTAGGAGTACATTGTCTTCACATATAATTATTTAACTAATGTATACAAAATGTTGTAAACCTATTTTAAAAAAGTGTGGAGCTTCTTGCCCATTCTTCTCCACACGAAACTACCTTTTGGAAGGGGCAACTAGAATTATCTTTATATTTTATTTGACGTTCAAAAGTGCCATTTTAGGTGGTCTAATTGAAAATAAATTATTTGATTTGAGTTAAATTCGTTAAATGAACGTTTAATATGTCTAAATGGTTTTCGTAGCTTAGTGTTTAATGGCTGTAACCCGCTAAGCTTAAAAGAATCTAACGTAGAAAAGTATAGTTTGCTATATATTGTCCTATGAGGAAACTTGTAGGCCAATAGCGTTCCCTGTAACAAACTGTTGCTTTGACAGGTGGTTATCGGTTATCGATTAGTTATTTTTAGCCGATTTGTTGTGCGAGGTCAGAGTCGCCCTTGACCTATTTCCCTGAACCCGTCACGCTAGGCTGTTGATTTTGTATAGATATTTCTGCGTGCAAAATCGAAAGTCGCGTACATTTACGGGTTTTATTCATTGTTATAGCGATATCTTTCAGGCAAAACGAATAATAAAAATAATCATATAAAAATGCCACGTACTGCAGGAAACTTGCTGTTTAAAAATTCTCCTCATTTCCTCCCACGTTAAATCTTATGAATTTCCCCTCGCAAAAACATATGCCCCGAACGGGCCAAAGCTCACCCCTCTAGAGGGAATGTGCAACACAAACCACGATTCGACTTTCACACTTTATTTTTTTTTAATTAAAATTAGTAGGTTCGATCTCCGTCTGTGCACCAATGTACTTTATTTCTATGTGCGCATTTAATATTCGAACGGTGAAGGAAAACATCGTGAGGAAACCGGCTTGCCTTAAAAAAGTCAAGTCACCTTCTTGCCTATTAGGTTACCAAATAATCATGAAACAGATACAGAAATCTGAGGGCCAGACCTAAAAATGTTGTAGCGCCATTGATTAATTAGATAATTATTTTAATAATTCATTAAAACTTAAAAATTTAAATTACATTCGTCTTATTATCTTGAAACCAAAATTTTTGAAGGTTTCACATCTACCACGGTTTCACGCACACATGTTTTGGTTTTATCATTATCGGTTTTATCCTTATTATCGCTATTTATTCTACGGTTCAGTGGTTTGCGTATTGAGGTGGAAGGGAGGAGTCGATTGGTTTAGATAATTCGTTTTAGGTTGGTCAAAATAAAAGAACAGCGTATTTAAAAAAGAGTTTGTGTCCATCGACGAGATGTAGAATTTCTCTTCCCCTTTCCCCTCTATAGGAAGCAGTGTTGGCTCCGCAACTCAGCGTGCAACTCATTCCTGAGGTCGTAGGTTCGATCCCGGCTGTGCACTAATAGACTTTTCTATGTTCGCATTTAACATTCGCTCGAACGGTAAAGGAAAATATCGTGAGTAAACCAGCTTGCCTTAGACCCAAAAAGTCGACGGCGTGTGTCAGGCACAGGAGGCTGATCACCTACTTGCATATACAAATGATCATGAGAGCAGATTCAGAAATCTGAGGGCCAGACCTAAAAAGGTTGTAGCGCCACTGATTTAGTTATTTATTTTCCCTCTATAGTTTCGGCTGTCACCCCCATATATAACATGAATTATTATAAAAGTCAGCGGCATTTAATTAACATGTCTATGTTTTTCAGGGCCTTTTAAACGTAAAAGAATATTTGGTAACAAGCATTTTCTTTATAATATTACAATTAATATTGCGTTTGTAAATTTGCTAATTTATGCTCGTTCAGATAAAAGAAAAATCGAGGTTATTGCAAAGAAAGCGATTCTATGAAATAGAGGTGTCTTGTTACAGATGTTTTTAAAACAACTATCGATTTCAGCTTAATCTGACATTTGACACTTCACCGGATGCCGCTGTTTGGAAAATTCCATATCCGCTTAACAATGTTTGTCTATCTATGGTTTCTATAATTTTTGTATCGTAATATCTGGAATTTAATATCTTTTTGAATAAATTCAATGCAGTAAAAAGTATTAAATAACCCTTTTTATTATTTCGATTGATTTGTCTTATATTAACAAACAATCAAACAAAAAGTCATTAAATCACTAGAGAAATAAATGTATAAAATTAATTAATTTATATGCATACAACGACCACTATTTTCCTTAACTTGTTTCAGCTTTCGTGGAATATGCTTAAAAGCAGTATTATTAATATCCATAGCGCTAAATCACCTGAATCATAAGCTCACCCTTCATACACATTCTATCGTACATACCATCACTTTCATACCATCACACAGCACAGTCGATTTTTTTTTTCTTAATTGAATCTTTTTGTATGAATTCTCTTGTTGTGTATCTTGGCTATATGTTTAGTATAATTGTTTTTTGTTGTATATAGTTTATGTTAGCTGAAGGATTACGAATTAATGAATATACGGGGTAGTTGGAAGAAGCTATGCTTGAACATTAAATGCGTAAAATTATGTCCCTCATAATTAAAAAACTGGGCGATGTGAGAAAGTTTGTTGGTAATATAAAGATTTAGTTTAAATAAGGTTTCAAAACACATTAAAATCAATCTAGTAATAAGAAATTTCATCCTACATCTAGGATATACTTCATAGGAATAGAGATCATACAGAAGGTAGTCTAGAAGTGATTCTTAATCAAATCAAAGTTTACTCAATAACTATTTACACTTTTAAACTTTCATTTCAGCCTAAATTTTCATTTACTTCTCCAAGTCACGTACAGTGGGCGAGAAGAACTGTCAAAACTGCGCTACAACATGCTTTATATTATTGGGATATCTTAATCAGTTGGTATAAATAGGGGTTTAGCACGTGTAGATAATGAATTCATCTAAACTGTGATTTTCCATAATTTATTATGTATGGTGGATGTTTAAAATTTAAATTATACACGTGTATGTTTTAGAATGTAAATTTATTGTAATTGTTGCTGGGGCAGTTTTTCTTTGTCACGTATTATATCGAAACGACAAATGATGCATATAAAATGTGTTAAATGTATGTATATTATTTATTAAATTCAGATTTGCACCTTTAATGCCGGCATTTTCTCGCTGTATTGCGATGCTTATTCGTTGAGCGACAACGTTGAGCTTTGGGGTCACCGGTACCTGCTATCAACCAGGCGCCAACTTAAATCTTTAATTAGTGCTTATGCACTTGAACCCCACGGCTATATGTAACAAAGAACTCGGACTTGGAGTTTAATGGACAAGTGACAGCACAAAACTTTGTTCATTTTGTTGAACGATCCTCGGGCAATTTTAACGTGATAATTAATATTCTTGGCATATTAATTAGTTTTAATAAGCCGGTGATAAGCCGTCTTTGACGCTTCGTAGACTTCGCTGTCGATATTTCAAATTTCTTGCGAGTAAAGTAGGCTCCAGGGTTGAATATAGTTACCACTAGTGTTTGAAAGCAGTTTTTTTAATAAAAATAACCAGCCGAAAATAACCCCTAAAACTTCTAATATACGATATCTGTTTCATGATTATTTTCCTTCTTATAAGGCAGCCTGTCAAAGTCAAAAATCATTTATTCCTATAGGTAACACTTATGAACGTCAATAAATATAGTTAAAAAAAACTAAAAAACACGCTTTTAAAGCACATCAAACTAAAAAGTGAAAAATAATTCCTAATGTGTGTTCGTGTTTTTTAGTTTTTTTTAACTATATTTATTTTCCACTTTTAAGTCCTAGCAGCAATACGTGTTGTCTCAATTTAATCGTATTGCTTTGTGGACTTATCCGATCTGTCCGTTTAATGTGGGTCAAAATCGAGTCCGAAGGAGTCGGTTACATACATACATACATACAGGTGAAGCTAATATAAAGCGTGTAAAAAAGAAATATACATTAAATGCTTCTAATTTTACATTTACTGCCAGTTCTCAAATCAAGGGCGTAGAACGGAAGAGAAGAACTGGCAATAACCCTGTGCCTGTGCCTGACACATGTTGATTTTGAGGTCAAATGAATCCACATTTCCTCGTGTTTTAGAGAGTTAATTCTGGTCATAGAAAGAAAACTCCGTCAATGTCGTGATTTGAACGACGACACCAGTTACGCAATTCTCTGTTAGGACAGTGTTTTAATAGTTTTTTTTATTACAGGCTGACAGAGCAACGAACCTCATCCGCGGTACGCGCTATGAGCAGTACCTACAGATTCGTGCAGATATCAAGAACTTCCGCGACAAGAAGAAGTTGGATAAGGTCATTGTACTCTGGACAGCTAATACTGAAAGGTATACTTCAGGTTTTGGATCGTCTTCAGTGTTGTACGTCAAAAACCTTAATAATCATTATTCATTATCATAGGCGATTAGAAGGTAATCTCATTGAAACTTATAATATCATTAGCTGACCCGGCAAACGTTTGTTATGCCATGTGTATTATTTCCAGGAAACATTTTTTTACTTTAATAAAAATAACTATCTACATAAAAAAAGGGGTTGATCGTAGAGGAATGAAAATTAGGGCTCGTATGTATTTTTGTATATTGTATCTTAAAAAAAATAAAAACAAAAAAATTGGGTTAAACACCCCTTGCATAAAAAATTTGTTTGTATTAAACGTCTTAAATTCGTAAACATTGTATTGTCTTATGCAATGTATTGTAAAATGTAAGTCCTGCAAAGCGTGGTTAGGTTTTTATTTATGGATATTACTTTTGTGAGTACAATTTGTAGTGTTTAGTTTGCTATTGAAGAACTGGGGACCTTGGCACAGGTTACTTAAAGGAGTTCCCAAATAAAATAAAAATAATATTAATGTATTAAATAAAACCCATTATTATTTTAGTTGCATTACAAATTCGTGTAATTATTTGTATTGTCTTATACAATGTATTATAAGACAGTAATTTATAGGTTCTGGAAAGCGGTTAGGTTGTATTAGGTTCTTAATAACAACGTCATCGGCTGTTACGACTATTGGTTTTTACGATCAAATATGCGTAGTCCCTTCGATGTCGTTAACACATTTTGACTGTGTTAGTATTGTGACTACAATTTGGAGTATTTAGTATGGTAGGTTTAGGAACTGTGACATGGGTATTACATTAAAAAGTTCCCAAATATATAAAAAAGGGTGCGTGTACTTATGTACGCGCGTAAGAACTAAGAAGTTATACTTATTTGGCTTTCTTTATTTTTTTTAAAATATTAAATAATTAATAACAAATATTTAACGTTAATAATTTAAAAATATTTAATATTTAGTATATTATTCAATTAGTAATTAATATTAATAATAATAATAATTATTATTTATTATTTTATTATATTATTAATTCAATTTAATAACTAGGTATGTTTCATAACCTTTTAACTAAGTAACAATAGGTCTTTGTGAAAAAGCATTGCTAAATTTCATTGAAAAAATAATTAAAACTCCTTTATTTGTTTAAAAGGTAAATGTCATTATGTTCATTCAAAATTCTTGGCATAGCTGCTAACTTCACGCATATTCTATTTCTTTTTACTTGTAGATTGTCTTATTCCCATCTCGCTCGCGCACGCTATAATCACACTGACAACTTCGCGTCTCAGGTACGCGCGCATCGTAAAATTTCACTCTCATCAATTTTTCATAACGCGCCTAAAGAACTCATTTTTATTTTATTTGAAAGGTCTTAAGACAATTTCGTGTAATTATTTGTATTGTCTAATTCAATGTATTACAGGTTCTGCGAAGTGCGGCCAGGTGTACATGATACAGATGAGAATTTGGAGAAGGCGCTCCGTGCTAATGATTCTGAGATTTCGCCTTCTACAATCTTTGCTATGGCCGCTATTGATGAAGACGTTAGTATAAAATTAATTACAGAGGATTTGTATGTACATATGTATATCTATTTCAATATTTCTCTATTTATTTACAAAGAAAAGTCAAAAATCATTTATTCATGTAACACAATGTACACTTATGAACATCAAAAAAGAAATATATATATATTTTAGATTTACTGTTAGTTCTCAAATCAAGGGCGTAGAACGGAAGCGAAGAACTGGCAATAAACTCTCCTCCACTCTTTTTTTACACACATATACACAACACCACCATTATTATATATAAAAACAATACAGGAATAATACACTTAACGATATTCAGATTGAACGTTCTGATATACGAGCTAGGTCTGGATATCCATAGTTTTGAAATCTAATTTCCTTTAGATTTTTTTTTACAGTAAATTGCCTTATTGCAATTCAATAAAGTGCCTATGTATCAGTGTACACTGTACTATAACTTATATTTATTATTTCAGTGTTGCTACATCAACGGATCGCCACAGAACACATTAGTCGCTGGTGTGGTCGAAAGGGCGGAAAAACGTGGCGTTTTTGTTGCTGGCGATGATTTTAAGTCCGGACAGACGAAGCTTAAATCTGTGCTTGTCGATTTTCTTGTGTCTGCTGGTAAGTTTGAACTATTGTTTTGATATCCCAAGTGGAAATGCATTGCGAATCCAATGCTTCCGAAAGTAAGGGGTATGTGGGGCTCAACCCAGAATATCTGCTATTCTGAGACTGTGTGAGCCCTCTTAAACCACCTCAGGTAGTTCCTACAAGGCCGTGTTAGAGAGGCTCCACTCGCTCTCAAATTCTACCAGGACCTGACATTGCCCCTAAAAATATGTCCGAATTAACATTTGAATAAAAAAGCAAAATTTCATACAAAATATTATTATATGGGAAAGAATTCAAGGGGTATGTGGGATTCGATTTCTCTGCTGGTCAGAGACTAAAGACTCACTAAAGTTTATATAAGGCTGTGTTAGAAAAGCTCCGTTCTTGCATCGTACGGGTGCCTTGTATTGGGCCTAAAAATATGTACGAATTATGTGTGCAATTTAGGAAAATTTCACTCAAGAGAATATAAGAAATGAATGCTTAAATAATTGAGAATAGTTTTACCTGGGAATCGGCTAAAATCTAAACATAATTCTTTGGCATCAATTCATAGTAAATACCTTTAGAAACTTGGTGAATTGGTACAAATGTAAAAATACGTGTTTAAATCCTGATTGAGTGTATCATTTTATATTAGGAAGGAAATGATGGACAGTTACAAATGTATTTTACACAGGTTTAAAACCAGTATCTATCGTGAGCTACAATCACCTCGGTAACAATGATGGAAAGAATCTCTCAGCTCCCAAACAGTTCCGATCCAAAGAGGTATTTATTTAATATTAATATTTTCAAGAAACACACATTAAAAAAATATACTATCACATTAACAGCAGATAAGAGCAGTGTTAGTGGCTTCAGCGTGCGACTCTCATCCCTGAGGTCGTAGGTTCGATCCCCGGCTGTGCACCAATGAACTTTCTGTCTATGTGCGCATTTAACGTCAGTAAAACCGAAGAAAAAATGGATTTAATATATTATGTCGGAGAAGTTGTTTAGAGGGCGTGGGTATGGGGATGAGGGTACAGTGCGAGCACAAGACACGAATAATTATCGTAATATAAATATGTAAATTAAATATTATATATATATAATATTTAATTTACATTTATTATTTTTAAAATTTACCATCACAATGCTCCACTGACTTTTCAAGATGGCGCCGACCCTACGAAGCATTTGCTCTGCTCTGATTGGTCAGAAAAATATTCGTACTTTTATTCGTTAAGTAATAATTCCAAACTTTGAAACAATTGAATAATAACAAAACAAGCCAAATTGTGATTCTTAAAAGTAATAAAAGAAATCGCGTTTATCAAAGCAACAACAATCAACGGTTAATTGACGCGATCTGACATATTATATATAATTATATTTAAACAATAAATGAAATGATTGCTAACACTTGGAGTGTTAATTATATGCTATCTTATATGTATATGTCATAAAGATGAATATAGCTGCGTTTTAATAGTACTCATCTTATCACAGCGTGACAAGCAGCATTTAATTTGATTGACTGACTGTTTTTGATTGAAAAATATGTAAAGAATGGTGACACGTTTTAAACATGACGTGTGTTTACGTGCAAGCTACGTCATAGGGAATGCGACGCCATGTTGCCTATAGTATTTTAGCGGGTTCTTGAAATTAAAACTTTGTTTATTATATTTTAATAAATTATATTGTATGCCTGAAGCGCTACACCACAATACAAACTCCTTATAAACTACAATTAAAAAATTCTACGTTACGTTTAAAATTTGTAATAACTTTTTCATAGATATTACAAATTTTAAACGTAAAACTCGGAGCAGAAATGGGCTATTTGGCTAGATTTTTAAAACCATTCTGATTATTCACTAGCGACTATAGAACCTGTACAAATTGTTCGTAGTTTCATTTGTACTCGTTGTATTTTTTTAATTCTAGTTTATATAAACTTTTTCATAGATAACAAAGAGCAACGTTGTGGATGACATGGTGGAATCGAATCGCATTTTGTACGCGGAAGGCGAGAAGCCAGATCACGTGGTGGTTATTAAATATGTGCCGTATGTTGGTAAGTTAAAACATATTTTAATAGACAACTGTTTGGAAAGAAACTGCTTTTAACAGTAAGACATTTACACCTGTTTTGTGTTATTGTGACATAAATAACATGTTATTATTTTGTCAATATTTTCAGTCCGTATTGTCCGTATCAACAAAAGAATTATTTTGAGATGTTATATGTATGTATATATATATATATTATTTTATTAATCTATCCATATATAGCCAATGCTCTCACTGAATATAAGGGCTGTGTACGAGCTAAGGCTGTACATTTTGGTAATTCTCTCTTAGTTTTATAAGCGTAGCGATTTCCTTAATCGTCGGAGTTACGCCCCGAGAGTATAGCCAGACGTAGGCATTCTCTTCAACTGTTACTTTGCAGTATTTTCATTCGTTTCAGAGCAATTAACTAAATCATGGGAGTTACACCCCGAGAGCATAGCCAGACGTAGGCACTCTCTTCAACTGTTACATTGCATTCATTCGTTACATAGCAATTAACATTTAATTATTTCGATTACATTCTATTATAATGCCCATTTAACACTCGCTCGTACGGTGAAGAAAAACATCGTGAGGAAACTCGCATTAGACTAATTGACATAGTCAGACACAGAAGGCTGATCACCTACTTCCCTATTAGATTAAATGAATCACAAAACTGGTACATAAATCTGAGGTCCTAACCTAAGAGGTAGTACCGCCACTGGCTTTTTTCATAACACTGTTTATTTATTTATATTTAAGGTGACTCCAAGCGAGCAATGGACGAGTATACTTCGGAAATCCTCCTACACGGAACAAATACTATCGTGGTCCACAACACGTGTGAGGATTCCTTGCTAGCAGTTCCACTCATTTTGGATTTGGTGGTGCTGGCTGAGTTATTCACTCGCCTGTCTTTCAGACCTAATGTCAATCAAGGTAATTTTGACAGATGTGCTGGACTTTGGAGTACTTCTAATTTTCATACAATAATCCTGTTATTTTTTTTTTTTTTTTATTTAAATGTTTCCAGATTATTCCCCGACTATATAGTCGTCGGAGGTGTTAAAAAGCTTACATAAATGTATTGGTAACCCGAATGTTTACTTTCTATTACTATATTACTACTCTACTACTACCTATTTCTTTTGACAACCCCCTGCATGACCCTCACGGCAAATCCCAAAAAGATGCCCCTCAACCTAACATTGAGCATTATTCCCTTCAAACTCGTCTCCGTTACCCTCATGCCCATAGCTTGCTCAGCGTTATACCTGTCGTATCCATACATGGGACAGTCGGTCAGAACATGCAACACTGTCTCTTCAGCTGCATCGTCACAAGGACAGGCAGCACTTTGTCTAACCCTGAACCTGTGAAGATACGACAAGAAGCCACCGTGACCTGTCAACATCTGAGTGATCAATCCCGTTGGTTTCATTTGTTTAATTATCGAAAAGGCCGAAGCAACATTTGGAAGGAATAACTTGGTTATTGCAGCTGTTTCACCGTCTCGATATCTGTGATTCCATTTTTCTATCGTGTTTCCACGTAGACAGTTCTTCAAATGCGATATGGGAAATCTATTGTACACGGGCGCCTCTTCTAGATGCGCAGCTTCCTTTGCTAGTTGGTCTGCTCTTTCATTCCCCTCCATGCCCGAATGCGCTTTAACCCAAAAAATATCAATTTTTTTGTTGAGTAAATGCGCTTTATTTATGTTCTTAAGAATTTCAACTACAAGGGGATTGAAAGAGCGACCACCCGCAACACTTTCGAGTGCACTTCGGGAGTCACTATATACGCCGTAGGTTGTTTCTGGGTGACAAAGGATCCTTTGAGTCGCTTTAAGAATAGCCACCAGTTCAGCTTGATACACGGAACAGCATGAAGATAGTTTCAATTTAAAAGTCTCGAATTCGGCACCATTTTTCCATAAGGAAACGCTGGCACCGACCAATTCGTCTACTTTACTTCCGTCCGTATATATCTTTACTGCCGGTGCATCTGTTCTAGGACGCTCTTGTTCTCTATACGTAAGGCTATAAATTTGATATCAGGTTCTTTGGAGGGGTGAGGAATACTCATCCACGATACTCTTTGCTCCAGGTCACCTTCCAATTCAGACTGAAATAATCCTCTCTTTGCTTCGTATAGCACAGCGGCCTCCTGGATTCTAAGGTCTAAGGGCAATAGTCCAGCGAGGATCAAGCTGGCATTCAGTGATACGGTTCGGTAAGCTCTGCAGAGCTTCAGCGCGAAGCTTCGTTGTACTGAATTTAATTGCTTCCTAATTCCTAGCTTTTTAGTGGCTGGAGCCCAGACTGCTGCCGCATATAAGATTATCGGCTCGATGACTGCTGTATAAATAATATGAATTACATCTCGGTGTAAACCCCAGCCAATTCTCGCCGCCCTTGCTAATTGTTTGTAAATATTTGTTGCTTTCCTGCATATATTGGAGATATGTTTATTAAAGGTCAATTTAGCATCGAGAGTCAAACCAAGTATTTTTATTTCATCTGATAGTTTCACGGACACTCCGCCCATTTTCAAATGTGGTTTGTCATATTTTTTTTTTTTAGTTATAATCATAGCTTGGGTTTTTTGTGGAGCAAATCTGAGTCTATTTTTGGTACCCCAATCTATTACATAGGCAAGAGCAGCATTAGCATTTCGTTCTATTTCAAATGCTGATTCTCCGACAAACACCATGATGACGTCGTCTGCAAAGGCTTGACAATAGTACCCTTTTTTTCCATTTCTTGCAGCAATGGATCCAAAAGTAGGTTCCAGAGTATAGGGCCACCTATGGATCCCTGAATGCATCCTTTCGACGTATTTCTATTTACCTCCTCTCCCGCATATTTTAACTGAACCTTTCGTTCTTTTAGGTAGCTATCTATTATCTTTCTCAGGTTAATCGGGACCCCTAGTTTAGCCAGCTGAACCCGTATCATTGGCCACCAGGCACTGTCAAAGGCGCCCTCTATGTCCAAGGAAACTATCGTTATCAATTTTTTCCCATTTAGTTGGTCTCGTATATAGCCGACAAGGTCGTAGAGGGAGTCTTCTGTGCTCTTTTGTGGCATAAAACCGTATTGACGGTGGCTTAGTTTGGGTATCACATGCCATTTTAATCTAGACACAAGCAACCTTTCTAGGATTTTTCCCATCACGGGCAGAAGACCTATTGGTCTATAGGACTTTGGACTCGTGTAGTCATCCTTACCAGGTTTCCTGAGAACCACTACTGTTGCGACTTTCCATAGTTTCGGGAAGTATCCAAGTTCTAGACATTTGTTTGCCATTGATAGGAACACTCCCGGATCCCGCAGGATAGCTCGTGCACAAATATCGAGAGTGAGGCCATCTGATCCAGGTGCTTTTTTGCAGTCAAAGCTACCAATCACCATGTTGAGTTCAGTTATAGTAAATGGAGGATCATGGTTGTCATCATGGTCCTGTTCATTTACTGTTTCAGCGAGCTGTCTTGTTTTCTTATGTTCCTGATCATCGTCTTCCTCTTGATCGCGTGGATAAAAACCTCTGCAAGTAGCTCAGCCGACTCCCTTGAACATAGAGTTTTACCTTGATTATTTAGCGGTAGGTCTTCATGCCTCTCAGTGGTTTTATTTATAATTTTATATATCCCCTTCCAGACTCCTTCTTTATCCTGTTTTTCACAGTACTCTTTCCAACTATTAATCTGTGCTTTTTTTGCTTCTTTCTCATATATATCCTTAGCCTCTAGATATTCTTTTATCACTTTCTGTCTTCGAACCGCGGCAGCGCATCGAATCCTACGCTTTTTAGTCACCATTATCCGTTTAAGGTTTGCCAGTTCTTTGGTCCACCACGGTATGGTAGGGAGTGATTTATTTTTTATTTTAGGTATGCAGGCATTACTGGTTTCTGTTATAATATTTATATATGTTGCTATAATGTCTTCTAACTCTGTTTTATCGGTTATATTATCTACGTTTTGTTGATTTATTCTATTTTCCAAAAGTAACTGACCGATTTTCTCTAGAAAATTAGTCCAGTTAGCTTTTTTAGTATAATATATCCTTGTTGTTTTTAATTCTGTGTTATTCTTTGTTATTTTCTGTTTTATTGTAAAGGTAATAGCATTGTGGTCAGAGCTAATTAAGTTTTGATTTACTTGCCAATTTTCAATTTTTTGTAACATATCTAATGTGCAAGCCGTTACGTCTATAAAACTGGTATATTGTTTATTGGCTCGTATGGTATAATATGTGGGGGTGTCTCCCTGATTTAAAATTTGCATTTCTAATTGCTCCAGTGTTGCAGCCATATCTTCTCCCCTTTCATCAATTACTGAGCTGCCCCACCAGACACTTTTTGCGTTTGCATCTCCTCCAAAAATTAAGTTGCGTTTAAATTTGCCTTTGATTTTAACTAGTTGGTCTAGGTATGGCACCAAGGGTTTGGGGTAAGGTTCAAAGTAGTAAGAGACGGCTACCATTTCCCACGCACCTGTGTGAATTTTTACCACCACAATATTGTTTGTGGTAAGTTCGGGGTACTGTTCAACTTTTAAGTCGTGGTCAAACACTGCTATCGCAGCTTTTACAACCCCCTCGTTTTTTGCGGTGCTTTGGTAGACTCTAGCCCCCTATACTGCCTCACCCTACCTCTGGCGCCGATGTATGGCTCCTGTAGTAACGCAATTGCTATACCTTTCTTCTGTGATTCAATTATAATTTCGTTAGTGGCCAAGTTTTTCTTCTGTAGGTTTGCTTGAACTATTAAGTATGATTTTGAGTTTTTGTCCGTTGGGCCAACTGAGGCAACCTTAGCAATATGCTACTGAGGCCCTTGCCAATAAGTCCCATCTTTTCCTCGTAGGGCACTCAGAGTCAAAGCTGTTATGTTCTGTAATTTCCAGGTTCGCACGTTTACAGTTAATACAGGATGGGATCCCCCAGCCATATATTCCGGGCAATCGATCTTTTTATGAGGCCCACCACAGTGTGAACAGTTTTCTTCTTCTGCTGTACATAATCGCCTACCATGCCCGTATCCTAGGCACTTCGAGCATTGTATCAGGGGTGATTGATCCATAACTTTAACCCTTTGCAAGTCGATGTGCATTTTACCTTCAGTTGTTAGTATTCCCCACAATGGAGGAGAAACTTGTACAATTATGTGATTCGTATGCAAGTTCCTAGCTCTTCTACGATACTTTACTGTAGCCCTTATGTCCTCTTTATTTAAGTGTTTTATTAGGTGTTCATTTTGAGTATTAATTGATGATATAATATCGTCATCCGTATTGGTTTGCAATACATCGTAAAGAATTATTAAAGGGTCTTTGTTTTTGGCAGTCTGAAATGTTAGTGTCTTGTCAATCTTTAACCGTTCCGATACTTTTTGTAGCTGTTGGGTGGACTCACAGCCTATAATTACTTTTTGATCCTTAGCTTTTCTTACTTTATCTACGTTTATTCCGGTCTTTTTTGCATTTACTGCCGTTTTAATGCGCTCGATAATTTCATTGCTCGTCTCTTGTTCTGTTGAAGTAACAATTAAAGAGTGAAGTGCGGTAGGCTTTAAGTTGGATGCAACCGTGTTCCTTTCTCCTTTACTTTTCTGACCCGCAACGATACTGGCATATGTGGACTGTATCGAGAATGTAGTTGTTTCTATCTTATTTATAATCTTTTTTTCCCTTATTTCGTCTGTTTTATCCTGTTTTTCGATTAGTAGTTTTAACTGTTCAATTTTATCGTTATTTTTTCTTATAAGAGCTCCTTGTTCCTCTATTCTCATTAAAATTTCTCTAGCGTCGCTGCCACATTCCGTATTTAGCGTGTTTTCTTCTTTTGACTGCTCCCCTCCAACTAGTTGACTTGTATCGACCCGTGCTGTAATGTCACCGTTCGTTTTTTCCAGTTCCTTGACAAGTTCAAAAGTCTTTCCGCGGCACTTACAATTTTATCTTTTAGTTCCATTTTTGTAAATTTTAAACTGCTGATTGTACTCTTGATGGTCGTGTATAAGATTTTCGCCTCGCTCGTAGGGGTCTTCGTTTTGGGAGACACTTGAGAATTTAGGATCCACGTCTTTATTGAGTTTTTGGCTGAAGCTGGTGTCTTTCTTGTCATTTGTTTAGCGTCCAACTCAATTATATTATTTTCTTGTTCCCTCACGCTGCGCAGAACCTGCGATTCTTCTGTTGACATACCTGCTTCATGAGTGCAGTCCTTGGATTTTACCATGCCTTTAGGTGGTGTTTTAAACATGTTAGCGTATATGTGTTGACAGGTCGTGCGTCACAAAGAGAAAGAAAAAAAAAAGAAAAATGTTTTTCAAAATAATAATATGTGTATATATATATATATATATATACTGTCAACTATCAGTATATATTATCAAATAATAATGTTATGATGAACGCGATGCATTCAATTGTTATAGGTACCCAAATATTACAATATAGAATACCGTTCGTCGAGAAATTGATTAGTAATTCTTTTAATTATATTTACCGTACCGATACCGTACCTGTTCACGTTAATTCATACAAAACCTTAATATCCAACACTAACCCTATGCTATATTCTAACAATATTTATTTGTTATGATACAAGTATAAAGATACGAAGATGTACATAGTTAGTTAATGTTTTTATATTATACTATAATTAACTAATGTCCTAAGTTAACTAAATCTAATGTCCAATCTCCTATTATTTCGGCGATGTTAAACTTTGTAAAATAAATTGCACAGCAGTTATTTTTTTTTTTTCACTAACAGTTAATTATATTCTGATAATTTTAAAAAGTTTATTGCATAAATGTTATCCTCAGGTAGTTTACTGTCCTCCGATGATAATGTCCACTTCTTTTCCTTGTACGATTTTAGTGATTGGTATTGGTAACGCCCTCTATTGTCGGACCTCTGAAGTACTTATAAAACTTGACCGTCGATCGATCGAGACGATCAAAGTGGACCTTGTTGTTATGGTACAGGCACTCTATACTAGATGGCGTTATCGACTATGCGCTATTGTTATCTTTTTGCATTCTCATTTAGCAAAAATAGGTTATATTTTTATTGATTTTGTTGTAAAAGTTCACAAATCTATAATTGATCGACCCTTTAAATTTTCAGTAACTAATTTTGATAAAACCACTGTTATTTCGCTTCGACTGGGTGTCTTTTGATAGCACTTCGACTACTTTTTGATATTGCACTTTTTCACAATTTAGCACTGAGTCACTGAATAAAAAGCTTTGCCCACACTGTATGTTAATAGATGATTGATTATTTTCCACTTTTTGGTCTATACACTGGGTTAGGGTACACAATTATTTCTTAATGTTTCGATAAATACGGAGCTGATGTTGACAGCGGCATATAATACTACCCTCTGTTATTTTTTTATTATTGCTTTAACATTGTGTATAAACTTAAACAAGTACAGAAAACACCAAAACCACTTAGGGGTTTAACCTTGGTGCCTGAAGGGGGCTACACCACAGTACAAATTCCTTATGAACTAAAGAGTAAAAAAATTCCCATCAATATAAAAATGAAATGACAACTTATTTAAAAAACGTAGTTTTCCGGAATATTTAAAATTAGGGTCTGTTATTTTAAAATGACTGTTTGGGGCCTTTCACTAAACTGACTTAATAATTTCCAGAATGGACCCCAATGCACGCGGTTTTGTCCCCTCTAGCCTATCTCCTGAAGGCGCCCTTAGTTCCCCCGGGAACACCCGTTGTCAACGCCCTGTTCAAGCAGAGGGCCTGTATCGATAACATAATGAGGGCCTGCCTCGCACTTCCACCTGTCCATCATATGCAGTTGGAACATAAGGTATTTACAGGTTTTGTACCTTGTAAAAAAATATATGCCCAATGTTCTTAAATTGGATAAATAAAATTATAGGTTTTTGGTTAGAAATGCACAGATATTCAATAGTTTTTACTAGTTACAGCTGTTTTTAATTATTGATTGCTTTGAATCGATCTCTTCTAGGCAATGGAGTAACTTACAAGGAAAAAAATGAAGTATATCTTACATATTATCTAATTTCATAAATTTAAATTTTTAAAGGACATTAATTTAATTAAATTGTTGCCTAAAGGTAAAATAAGTTAAATTTAACAAGAAAAAAAGTTTTCTATACATATTAAAATACAGAATACATATTATCCCGAATGAAAAGACTTTCGGTTCAAAGCGGGGTCGCTTGTATGTGATTATTATCGAATCTACATGTCTAAAATCCATTTAATATTATTTAATAACAATTATATTCGGTTATATGTATCTGATAATGAAAACTCTTTCCTAGGTTCCATTTTTGATGTCCGATTTGAAGTCTGGCGCGATGTTCGCTTCATCACCGCCATTGAAGAAGCAAAAATTGGCCCACGAAAATGGCGATCATTAATTTTTTTCTATCTACATTTATTCCCTAGGTGACATTTGACAATACCATATTGTCAAATGACATAGACTAAATTTTATACTCTATTTCTTATTTTCACAGATCTATTATCGAAATATCCAAAATTATTTAATCTCTTTTAGAATCTTTAGCACAAAAGATCTTTATTTTCAATGTTATATTTTAAGTGTTGATATATATATCTTTCAACTAAAGCACAATACATATATTATCTGTGCGATGAACGTAAAATCGAATAGTAACATTTAGACTAGTGCATATGGAACTAAATAGAAACAAGTATTTTTTTATTGAGCGCAGATATACTGCCCGTAGACACTCATACGAACAAGGCACGCACTCGCTCGTGTCTGGACTTTTCAGAATACGTACCTTTCTCGAAGGAAATCGTCGAAGTCGATATAAACACATTTTGACATAATTTTTTTATAAAATGTACTATTTGATTTTACCTATTATTTTTACTGTTTTTGTTATGTTCAAAGATATATTTTATTAAATATAAATATCGGCGCTGCCCGATTATTTTGATATAACATTTACGTTTTGAGTTAGACTCGTATTATTATTTTATAAGAGGTCTATTTTAATATTCGCTTTTAAAGTGAATTGTTTTGTTTAAAATTTTGTTAAAAAATATATTTTACTTACAAACGTATATTTGAAATATTTAAGTGTTTAAAATATTAAAATTTTCGGAGATCAGTATTAGTTTACAAATATAACCAGTATTATATTTTAATGTGATGCATTTATTCCATAATATAATCAATGTTTTGGCTATGAATAACAATTTAATTATTTGTGTGTAGATTTAGTTTATTCGTGCACTTTTTAATAAATATTATTTTGTATTCAACTTCAGTGTTTTATTTGTTCTTTTTCATAAAACGGACTACAAGCGACATCTTATGGATTTAAAATGCGAGCTAAAGCTGCCGACGATTTTTCAGAGCATATAGAGATAATTTAATTTGCATCTGGATCCCAAATGGTTCTACAGTAAAAAGATCGTATTTTACAACCATAAATACGACATTAAATTAAGCGATTTTTCGAAACACACGTGAAGTTTTAAGAAGAAAAGCAATGATATATTGTATTGTTATTGCTGAAACGATTTTTACTGATTACTAAAATTTTACACTTTTTGGATATTTTCTGCGAATATATAATTTTATCTGTCATTTTATATTAAATAGCACTATCAGATTTCGACGGAGCGTACACAGTTAGTCATTGTAGAAAAGGGAATATTCAACATATTCGGATCCGTCGATTTGCCAGCTCGAAGTCCTGACCTCAATCCAATAGAGCATGTCTAAGGTGTTCGAAAGAGACGAGTAAGATCAGTGCAACCTGCTCCACAAAACATCAGGGATCGAAAAAGAGTGGGAACTTATTATTAACTTAAACCGTTATTAAATCACAGTGGAAAGCATGCCCCGAAGGATCCCGATTTTGGCAAGACCCTCTTGTCACACTCGTTATTTGTACTTTATTTAATTAAAAAGTAAATAAATCTTCTCTTTATTGCGGAGCACTTCTTAATAAAGCCTTTTAACTATTTGGCCAAGTATATCGGTTTTAAAAAAATACGAAAAATTAATAAAAATTTGCCATTCACTTCACGTGTATCTATTTACTCGATTTTAAGTGTAGACTACGTCAGACAATAAAATTTCATTTAATTAAAACCTTGGAAAGAATCATGGCCATATTGTGGAATGGTAATTTTTTTTCGCGCTAACGTTTATTTATTTACATGTAAAGGAAAAGCAACTGGCGCCCTTATCGCTTTCGAGCGATCTTTTCCAGGCTACCACTGTGAGAAAAAAAAGAAATAAGGAACGTTGTTACTAGAGTCGAATTTTTAATTAGACGATATCAACTGACGTTTACGGTGTTGTCAGTTTTTAATGAAATAAAAATAGTGTTGTGTTTGTCACATGATTTGTGAATGATTGAAAAAACTCCTGAATTAATAAAATTGCCTCGATTGCCTAGTGAATAGTTAACGTTGCGTACTGCCGATATCGGATACGGGTTCGAATTTTAGTCGTGCTTTGAACATACCAACGAGTTTAGTACTAAATACCAATTGTTTTTAACATTAAGGAAATCATTGCGAGGAAACTTGTAAGACTGTCCTATTCTCAATATATCATGTAGTTTATACTATAGATGTTTAATAATATAACAATTATAGGTTGGTAATGAAAATAATAAACATCGCTTATTACATAATTTGTTTTTATTCATCATCAGATAAAAAATCATCACTATCGCTTTCGGTGACATTAATAATAAATCTGTCTGAAACATTGTCGATCATGTCGTCGAGACCATACATTTTATCTTCTTCTTTCATTATGTGAGACACGCAGCTACGCCATTTATCAGGTGTGATTAGTTTAAGTCCTTCTTCAAAAGTTTTTTTACTTCTGTCATTTTGAAGGTTTTATTATTTTTTGCAACATATCCTTTAGCCTGCGCCCATACCAACTCAATGGGATTAAGCTCACAGTGGTATGGGGGCAGACGTAAAACAATTATCTCATGCTGCGCTGCTATCTCGTCCACAACATACTTTTCGAAATGATCTTGTTTGTGCTGCCGTACAATGTCTATAAGAGTAGCTTTAACCATTGTTGCTTCGAATGAAATATTTTTGCTCGTTAGCCACTCTTGTATTTTAGGTTTAGTCCAAGACATTTTAGGCAGCGATTCTAGTTTCCTGGAGTGGTAGGGGGCATTATCTAGCACTACAACGGAATTTGGTTTTAGTTTTGGCAAGACTCCACTAAACCACTTCTCAAAGGAATCGGCATTCATTTCTTGATGATAGTCTTCTTTACTTTTTTTGGCTTCAAATATTAGTAAGCTGTCTTCTACGAATCCTTCTTCCCCACCTATGTGGCCGATAATTAATCGTTTGCCCTTTCCTGAAGGCTGTTTTAAGCCAGTAGTCAGGCCATCTAGGAAGGCCTGGCGAGTCGATAACACTGTCTGGTCAATCCATGCCTTCTTCGGTGCATGACCTACAAGATAATGAAAAATAACAATTAGTTAATGAAAGTACAATTTAATGTAAAGAAAACAGAAAATTGTAATTACCTTCGTTGATCCAGGTTTCATCTTGGTAATAAATATACCTTCCTTCCCTTCGATACTCTTTAATTTTGCGAAGGTATCGCTGGCGCCATAACATAATGTCCTGTCTGTCAATTAACATGCTTTTTCTTGATTTTGTGACATATTTGAAATTTAAATGTTTCATAACATTTCTTAATGTACTCCAAGAAAAATTGGGTAAGTCTGGGTCTTCATTGACAACCTTAAGAATCTGTGAAGTAATAAAAAAACGTTTTTGAGTAAGGAAGTCTACGCAATCTAATACTTTGGTTTTACAAAGATCATTATTGTGGACACAGAATATAATGCAGTCGATGGAATAAAGTTTGTTACCTTTATAATGGTGGGTGACTCATTTGCATAAAAAAAATTATGAACTTTTCGCCTTATAGCGGCCAAAGTAAAATCGTCTAATTTATCTTTGAAATTGTGTTTCGGTCCACGTTTCTCGGGAGACTTAAATTGTTCATTTTCTTTGTATTCTTTTAATACACTGTAAACTAGGGATGAGACATACTTGCAAAATTCAATACCAGGGCTTCCAAGTACGAGTATGTAAAAATACCAGGTACTGAGGTCACGCTAATTCCCAAAATGTCAGCTGTTTTCGAAACACATTCTTTTTTTCGGGAGCCTCAATAGGTAATAGTAAAGCAGCTTTCTCCTCAAATACGTGTTTGTAGACGTTTTGTATCATAACTTTTTCGGTAACGCTTAAAGCAATCCGTGGTCTCTTCTTTCTTGGAGACAAGCTTTGGCTTGACGTGCTTGGTTGAGGATCCATATCGTTTTTACGAAACAATATAGAAATAAAAAAACACAACAATAACCACAAACACAACGTAATGAAAAACTTAACAAAAACTATAACTAAACAGCGTGAGCGCAGAAAAAACATTCGTGCTATCAGACCAGAGGTTAGAAGCCGAATGACAAACAAAATGGCGACCGACGCGCGCGGCGTCGATCGGTGTTGGCACTAGTCGCCTCGCCGCGCTCTGTATTACAGCCGTCAAAAAACTGATTGTAGTTACATACTACTAGTACCTAACTTATATCAGAAATCTTTTATACAATTTTAAAATAGTAATAATATTATTTTATAGTTTGAAATGATTAACTATTCACACTCACTCATTGTTCATTCATCTGATTGAACAAGAACTGAATGTATCACTATTACTTTAAATGTGGCAACATTATTTTACTAAGTGACATTAGCTACTGTCAGATAGCTTCGTCTAATTAAAAATTCGACTATAGAGCTTAGCCATTGGAGCCTTGGGGCCGAACAGTAAGTGGTTAGACTGTTCGAGGATCCTCCATTTAGAGAAACAGTACACAATCCTTCTTCCGCATTGGTGACACCGACGTGATTATTGGTGCTGTTATATTATTCGTAGCTGCTTTAAAGGTTTATAGTAACTTAAAAATGTAATACAAGGAGGTACTGTATATTTAGCAACTACAGGCACTGTCAATTCATGATAAATTTATATTAGTTTAACTAGTTTATTATTTTTATTGGTCTCAAAGAAAGGGTTCGATGTCAGGTTTTATTGGAATAAAAAACGTGGCTCAGATTAATCTTCTTTATTTTATTTAAGCATAGAATAGTACAGTTTTAAGTCATCCAGTCTAATTTGACAATAAGTCGCAGTCACACCTCAAGCAGTCACAATCATAACAACATTATCTAATCGGTGATACACAAGATACATGTATTGAAGTAATACGACACCTTAAATAAAATGCGAAATCACAAAATAGCATTACAGGTATAAAATGGCCGCTACGTTACACGAGCTAAAATCTTGCATTGTTATGCATTAAAATAGTATAAGGAAATATGTGGCCAGTTTTATTGGATAGTTAAGAATTTGTAAATTAATTAATTTAATTAGTCAATGAATCTATTCTCATGACATTTCTATCAATAATTTATCCGTTACTTTACTGGCGGTAAAAAAAATACAAGCCGCGATTTGGTGCTGGCAGCAACTCGACCAATCGGGAGAAGTATATTAGTTGTCAAATAGACCTCAATAAAACCGTATAAAATAAACTCTCGTAGCGGCCTCACTTTTGGGTATTTTCATGCAATAGAATACAAAGACTCATGTGATGTCATAAGTGCAAACAAAATGGAATGTTAACTTAAATAAGCCTATGAATATATTAAATACTTAATAGAAAATAACCACCGCACACAACAACGCAACAATTGCCAGCAACGTTAAAGAATTATCGAGGGAAAGGCGTGTGGAACGAATCACTAAATTATCGTGCAAAATGTCTAACTCTACACTATTTAGAATAGTTGTGGACATCCGTTCACGAAGTCTTTTACCTACGTTAACAATATACTCCGATAACGATAGAATTACGATTTTATCAGTGCTTTAATTTGTAAAATTCGTTTGCTACCTAACGATTTTTATAGAAGAGGATCTAAGGAAGGGATTATATTTTAAGTGCACCGCACTGAAGTAACTTTATGAGGTATTTACTTCTAAGCTAAAACGATATTGTACGCTTTACGTAATAAAACGGTGAGTATTGCGTATATACACAACAGTAAATGGCAACACTGAGACAGCGGTCATATACAAAATTTACATAAGCGTACGAAAGCGTTATTTCGTGAAAAATCTTTATGTACAATAACAACAATATTTCGGTATGCGATGATTTCTAGCATTTACATAATTTATAACGTCGGAAATTTATTTACAGTATATTTTTAAACGCCTAAGGGTTATAATATTAGACATCTACCGTACTATCACTTAAGGTTCAAATACATTAAAACTCTGATGCGAAGGACCATTTAAGACCTTGAAAACAAAGAAAAGTCACGTCAATCATAAATGTTTGATGTACCTCTGAATTGACCTTTCAAATATCTCAGTCATCTCCAATATTGGTTAATCTCTTGATAACATCACTCTTATCACACACTCGTATCTCTCCTCCTCTCAGTGTAATCACGAAAGAGACTTTTCTTTTCTTTTTTGAAGATTCGCATAGGACAGCTTAAGCAATAACAGATAGAACCAACAAAGAAATGACGTCACAATAGCTAATAGGCTACGATCTAGCTTACTCTAGTTCTACACTCGCGCGACGCGTGCGCATATGTCACTACTTTTAATTCCTTACGTGCCTCAGAGCAGAAATCTGCCGTACTTAAATACGTTTATTGCTCGAAAATTATTTTTTATTCGTGTTTATAATGGTAATATCGACTAATTTTATTTTTTTAATTTAGAATGGGTATTTTATTAACGAGTTTTTCTTATAGAAAATCTCATATATTCCTATAGTACATCAATCGTTATGTACAGCGTTATCGTACCAAAGTCCGCTTTGGTATGTTTATATCGATATTAATATATAGTAGGAGTAAAACTAACGTGCGATCTTGACTTTTCAAACGGCTTCAATAGAAATAAATGATCTAATTAATAGTTTTCAGTGTAAGTATTATTATGTTGTTTTATCGTATTAGTAGTAACTTTAAAATGGAACGTAAAAGTAAGACATTTCGGTAATTATAGTGAAGTTTTCAAGTCTTGATCACACTTTTAATAAACATTCTAATACTATGTCGATTCTATGTACATATAGCGAGTTGTCTGTCTGTTGCAACCCGTTACGCACACAATCTGTTAACGCTGGAACTAGATGACGATAATTATTAAATATAAAACATTGTTACAATACTCTTATTATTTAAAGAGAATGAAGCTACCAACTTAGCGCATTCACCACTTTTTATTTTTCAGGACATGTAACTGAAATGGGAAGTGGCGAGTTGTTGGCAACACTGATATTTGTAAATTTAATACAGCGCCATCTAGTAACGGTCCTGCGTTAACATACTCAATGAGAAACCAATTATTTCAATTCCATTACCACGTTTCGGAATGTTTAGGCACTATTTAAGTACTTGATATTCGAAATTACATACTTCAGGGTAATATACGGTAATAACTATAGGGTAATAAATAAACGTGTAACAAAAACCCTATGAAGAATTTGAACCTCATTGTATCATTAAAACAATAATGAAGACCATAGACAATAATTGTCTGAAATATGTTCATGAACAATGTAAATAAGAGTTCCCAAATATGTTTTTTAAATAAAATAGTGTTAAAAAACCATTGAAATATATTGATTGTTCAATTCGTCAATTTTGACGTCACTCAAAGAAAAACGAAGAGGTTAAAATGTTCATAATTTTTTTGTTACCAATTCTTAAAATCTAAACAAAAACTAAATTTAAAAAAATCACAAAAGATCAGCATCAAATTTTACGCTACGTTTTGAAGATTTATGTGTGTGTGTAAAGTCTGATTGTTCGCCAAAAGACTGTTGTGTATTAGATTCATTTAAAAGTTCACCGCGTCTCAACAACACATTGTTTAATTGGCGTACACCGAGCGATTCTTGTGTTATATCCGAATACTGCCGAGATATACCTAATGGCGGTCGATGCAATGATTGTGATAAATCAGACATCTGTCTTGTTAATGGTTTAAAAGTCTGTTGTGTATTGTAAGACAGTGTATTACAAGACGGTGTACTATAAGACGACGTATTATGAAACTGAGTATTGTAAGACGCTGTATTATAAGACAGTGTATTATGTGATTGTGTATAGTAAGACTGTGTGGTGATAGGTCGTGTATGTTTACCGAATGATCGTTGCATTGTGGCTTGTTTGGTTTGTTGCGTGTGTTTCGTGCGTCAGTTGAGCGGCAAGCAGAACATGTGCTGCAATAGCGTGGGCTTGCGGGAAGGTCTCTCCGAACAGACCGAGTCGTAGTCTGATGATGACGATTCCGCGCTGTACCCGTACATCTGTATGATCAAATTACTATATTAAATATGGAGCTATTAAAGGCAATAAGTAAATACATTATTTGCCCAAATGACATTTATATTCGAAGTCTACAGTGTCATCAGAATAATACATCAGTCTATGAACTTAAACAGTTAATATTAAATCCACTTAAACTAGTTTAACTGTAATTACTAGTTGTTCGGTTCCTGGGTCATCGGGGTGCTTTAAATAATAGAGTTTTATGTTTACTATACCAAATCGCGTACTTCAATAGAATGAAATGTTAATTGCTATGAAACGATTCCTAAATGAATGCAATGTAAATGTTGAAGTGAGTATCTACGTTTGGTTAAACTCTCGGGGCGTGACTCCGACGAGTTAAGAATTCATCACGCTTATAAAACTAAGAAAGCCTGAGTGAGCAAAATGTACAGCCTTGGCTCGTTTACTAGTAGTACATTTTTTTTTCTGCGGGTTTTTGCAATCAGCCCTAAGGCTATGTGCGAATCTGTTCTGTGGTGATGTCTACTAGTAGTACATTGATTTTTTCCTATATACACATAAATATATATATATATAAATATAAATATATATATAATGTTCAGCTTAAATCATCACTACGTAAAGCATATAGCCAGTCCTAAACAAGAACATCCTAAAACTAGAGTAGGAACTAACAAGTATTTTACCGATCACAAACGCAATTTTAATAAAAGTTTAATTAAATTTTAAAAACAGATTATATCGAAATAAATACATAATTCACATGAACAACGTTTCGAGTGCTTTTCAGCAACCGTGTAAAGCGATGATGATTTTAATCTTCTGTTATGTAGTAAATAAGATTTTGGTCCTTCGGGTCGGATTCTAGTCAGCGACGTATTAATACACACCTGCTTGTCGCCTGGGTGCAGCAGACAGGCGTGGTGTCACACGCAGTCCTCGAGGGACATGAGGAGTGGGTTCACGTACTCGAAGCCCTCGAACTCCGATTGGTCGATGTCCGCTATCTCGCTACTGGAATGGAGATTTTTAAAATGATATAAATGATTACGAACGGTAACTGATGTAAAAAACACAAAGATTCGTTTCGTAAATGCTGTGCAAAAATAAAATAAGATTGAATCACAATTTCGACCCCATGTTTATCCATTTCCCATGAGCAGTGTAATAGTGGCTTCAGCGTGCGACTCTTATCCCTGAGGTCGTAAATTCGATCCCCGGCTGTGCACCAATGGACTTCCTTTCTATGTGAAGGAAAACATCGTGAGGAAACCGGCTTGTCTTAGACACAAAAAGTCGACGGCGTGTGTCAAGCACAGGAGGCTGATCACCTACTTGACTATTGGATTGAAAAATGATCATGAAACAGATACATACATAAATAAAAAGATTGTAGCGCTAGATTTTTTTATTTTTTATATCAATTTCTCGCTGTTAACTGCTGCGGACCCTTTAATCTATTTTTTTTATTTAGTTATTAAGCCCACGACATCAGACACAGTCCTAAATCTACCAATTATTTCACAAAATCTTACATCCAAAATGTGCGACAATCAACGCAAGCATAAGTTTCTCAAAAAAAATCAAATAGAAATTAAAAAAAAAATACAACTAAAACACTCACGACAATAAATACATTAAAATAAAAATAATTTTTTTTATTATTTCAATCTTAAAATTAATCTATAGATATTAATAAAATAGAATATAATTAACATACTCTTTATCGGGCGTGAGTCGCACAGGCTCATCGGTGAACTCTGGTGGGAAGTTAGCGAGGTCCCTTTCTCCTTCGAGACGAGGTTTAAATGGTGGAACTACTTGTTTCTGCTCCAACTAAAATAACAAATTAATAAGTATCGCCAACTTTCTCAGGGTTATGAATAGGAAAAATAATACATAATTTTGCTGTACTTTAGAATGTTAATACAAATTTAAGTTGCCTATAATTTAAAAAAACATACCATTTCCCATTCAATGCTCTTGAAGAACGGATGGTTAACGATGTCTCTGAAGCCAGTGTCTCCACATCCAAGTCTCTCAACTGGATTCTTGTTGAGGAAGCCTTTCAGCACCGACGCAGCCTTCACGGATAGAGAACGAGGGATTCGAATCGTCTTTTCTAGAATTACCTGTAATCATTTAAAAGATGTGTTTTTGTTTGTTTTATAAAGACTCTCTTCTTACTAGCGGATTCTGTAAAATATTTCAAATGCGCTATTTACAGAATTTGCTTTTCTAGATACAAGTAAAACTTCTGTGTCAGAACATTAAATATTTAAAATATTAATGTAATGTAACATAATGATCAAATAAAAATCTTTCAAGAAGTAGATTAGGAAGTTTAATGGGAAGTTCTACCAGGAAACTTTCGCAAGATAAAATATATAAAGAGACTAGCTGAGCCTGTCACGTCTTAAATACAAAAAAATAAAAAAATAACATATCCATGGCATGGCAGTGGCCATTACAGTGGTGTTATGTTAAAAGAGCCTTTGCCAAAGAAGGGCACAGAGATACCAGGGAATGTACAAACATGCGTCGCTATAGAATGATAACCTCGTATGTCCAAACCGAACATTACAGGAAACAAAAAAAAAAGGGTGCGTGTACTTATGTACGCGCGTAAGAAATTATACTTCTTTGGCATTATTAAAAATAGTTTTTGATTGCATGCAAATAATTAATTACAGTTAAATAATCAAAGACTGGAAACGGAGTCATTATAGTGAATAAAGGTTAGTTTACATTTGAAAAATTAAATAAATAAATATCATATATAAATCATACATTAAGTGTAACATAAATTATATTATTATTCGAATGTTGTTTTTAAATTATATCCAATGCCGTAGCATCTTCCGTGGGCAACTTCATTCTGTTAATTTTGTGTCACGGTGCGCGCGCATCGTAATATTTCATTCTCATCAATTTTTCATAACGCGCCTAAAGACGTTATACAAACTTCAAAAATGTTTTATTTCGTCAATGTTCGTTAAAATATTATTATGTGTTTTTGTCACATGAGTTTTATTCATAGAATCACATCTAAATTATTGGTGTTACCAGCTATAAAAAAAAATTGTACCGATGTAACAAATAAAAAAAAAGCAACAAAATAAAAATACCTGGAAGAGATAATCCTCAGTGTTCTGATCAGGGTTGTCAGCTGCGTGTGAAATATCGAAGGGAGATCTTCCAGCCAACATTTCATATGTGAGCACCCCTAAAGCCCACCAATCCACTGAGAAACCATAATCCTCCCCGCGTAATATTTCTGGGGCTATGTAATTGGGAGTCCCGCAGAAAGTCGACGTTGTGTCGCCGGGTCTTACGCCCTCCTGAAAACGTGTACAATGTTTAACGGACTACGAATTACCAACACTTTTGAACAAATCATGAAGATCTTTTTAAATAATTAATCGGATTCATTTAAGTTGAAGATATTGTTAATTGCTTAATGATTATGGAGATACCTATAATGGTCTCTTAGTTAAGCAACGCGAGTTTTTGTACAAAATAAAGTTTTGTTTATTATCAGCATAGATTTCTCGAAACATGAATATGTAATTTTGTTAAATAATTAACTTAAAGTAAGCTGTATATGATAAAAAAACTTATTAAAAGGAATTCTTATAAGAAAAATACTTATAAAAAAGGATATTCTAGAACGTCAATCATTATGACTTGCGATACGCATTAGAATATGGACGTGAAACATTGCTAAATCCCATTCGCAGCAACTACTTTATAAAACGAAAGTATGGTTAGCCATTAGACAATTTAGTTCACAAATTTTTCAAAAACTGAAAGTCGTATGTAGATCATGATTTTGGTTTAAACGTCGAACAATTTAATAAACCATCCCAGTTTCAAAATCGGTTTAGCAGTTTATGAGATACGGGAAGGGATTTTCATAATGTAATAAATAACGTCGTAATATTTTTTTTGCATAAAATTGAAATGAAATGAAATAGTTTATTCTTGCAAGTAGGACTATATAAATCACTTTTACAATGTCTTCCTAAACTAGATGAAGTCGACATTTCCTAACTGACTGCCCTGAGAAGAAATGTCGAAACAAACTCGGGCAATTACCTTGCACATTCCGTAATCAGTGAGCTTGATGTGCCCCTCGTGGTCCAATAAGACGTTGTCCAGTTTCAAGTCCCGATAGATGACGCCACGTTCATGCAAAAAGTGAAGAGCTAGAGAGATCTCTGCTGCGTAGAACCGAGCGTGTTCTTCTGGTAAACGACGCTGACGCTGCATGTGGAACCTTTAAAGACATATATAATTTAACCATTAGCTGTTCTACACATAGTATCGTGATACATATATATATACTATACTAATATTATAAAGAAGAAACATTTGTGTTTTTGTATGTATGTTTGAAATGTTTTCACACAACTCACTATTAGAAAGCTGCACCTTCGCTGACTGGCATAGGCTATATCTTAAGAAACTATTGTTACTAACTCACTAATCAATCAATGGACTGTATTTGTCTGATTAATAAAAATTTTTATTATTATTATATTAATTTTAAAAAAAATTGCCTAATATAATAATAATTTAGCATTTTGAATTTTTGTTTAAATTTTTAACAATTTATAATAATGAAGTTAATATTCCTGGGTTGATTAATAAAAAAAAAAAAAATTTATTGTCGGACATTCTACGTTAATGATGTTACGAATTTAAAAATGTATTAGATATAGGGGAAGATCGTTACCCTTCGTACGCGGGGCACATTCATACAGTCGAAATAAAACTTGAACGAAACAAAGTACAGTCTTGTTTTTGTATGTGTGCATGAGTCGAGGTACGAACTATACATCAACGAAGTTTCGCGAAATTCGCACCGATGCGAGTGAAGTTACAGGCATGGACGTGTTTTCGCGCTCGGTAAGTAATTTTTTGATCAATGTTTTTGTCTCTTGTTACCGTAGATAAAATAAGTTTTCGTGTAGAGTTTTCTATCAGTAACTAGCAAAATATACTTAGATACGTCTCCAATACTTAATTTATGACGTTTTCCTATTAATATTAAAATAAGTTATATTTTGTTGTTATTCAATTAGTGGGGTACTTTCGGACAGCACTAGATGGGGCACATTTGAACGAATTGTACAACTAAATTTGTATGAAAATATTTTGTCGACACGAACTGTCATTTTCATACAAATTAAGTTTTCCACTTGCTACATACAAATAATAATAAGGCATCTTGACTAAACCCTCTGGTAGGTAGGAAAGATTGTGTTAGTGTGCTAATTGCTAATATTTGCATTAACTTTGTCCTGTGTTGCTATCATTGCTATCGTCGATGTATATTAATACCTATTTTTATTATCTTTATTAAGGTTGATTTTGATGCCTGTGAACCAGATGCTTTGAATAATTTACCAATCCATCAAATAGTAGTTCCTTCGAAGTCAGTTTTGACACCAGAAGCGTTTCGACTCTATCCGCATGTTGTAAGAAGTAATAAAACAAACAAAATGACGACGACGGCCAGGAAAACCACGAATTTATACTGCCACACCCGAAAATAAGAAGTGCTAATCCGCACCAAAGATTAAAAAATGTGATTCTAAATTTAAGATACCTAACTAATTAAATTTTGGTTTTCTTAAGAAAAGCTATGTAATTTTTGTTCACTATAATTAAAGTATTTTATTTTTGTTTAATAGAAGTTAAATCTTTATTTTTGTGTTTAATTTCATTGCTAATAAATGAATTTTGATTTATATGTGTTGTTTTAATCGCACGTACGGAACTACCCCACAGCGTACGAAGGTACCCTCAACACTGTACGAAGGTGCCCCGTTGATGGGGTAGATTCGTACGTTTTCCAGATTTAGTTTAAATCATAATTATGGTTGAACAATCAGATGAAATCATTTGTCATTTACTTATATGAATCTCAGATAGTTAGACTATAAATTTAAGCTTGCAGATGATCGATTCATGGAAAAATAAAATAATAAAAAAATTAAATGTGAAAACCGTACGAAGGGTCCCGACCTTCCCCTATACATTATACACGTTGTAATGTACAATTTGTATTAGTTTATGAATGTAAGTGTATATGTAATCATCTGAAAGGAATTAATTAAAATAAAATGGTACAGGACAAAACACGCTTCACGAGACAGACAGCCAGCCTCGAGTAGTGGAGAGGCACCGAAAGTAGAAGATATAGTGAGGAAACCAAAGACAGAATTAAAAAAAAAACAATAGAATAAGAATTAGAATAAGAATAATTTGTTTTCTCCCAAATAACATTTACAACAAACAAGATAACAGTTGAGAAGGCATTGGGAGACTGGTTTCCAAACTAGGCAAGAACCTGTGATATGGATAACCAGGCTTCCATTTACAGCAAAGTCATATTGAGTGTTTACAAAAAGTACATACATATATGGGTAGGCAAACAAATTAACGTTTTAATTAAAGAGAGAAAAACAAAACAGACAACTAATTAGAATTTAGTACAAAGTAGCACAAATAAAGTTGTATGGGCGTATGTGAGGGTGTGTGTGTGTATGTGAGTGTTGTGTATGTGTAGGTGAGTGTGTGTGTATGTTGATAGTGGGAGAAGGTATGTGTCAGTCACACGCCTGAGAACATATGTGAAAATTATTTTAATATATCTAGCAGGTTTTCCGTTTGGTCATAGTTCAAAGTAAGAATAATTTATGAACTATTTGCTTTACACATTTTTTAGTTTTAGGTAACAGCCTAGAAAAGAGAACGATCGCTGAGAATAATTAGAATAAAATGGGGTTGTACAAACGCTATATTTGCGACGTTTGTCCAATACAGCGACATCGAATATCGAAGAATAACAGCGAATGTTGCTTAAGAACAGTGTATAAGATAAACAGCTGTCGAACTGTAAGTGCAGAACTGATTTTATAAAGTTCCGCAGTAGGGAACCGAAAGGGAGACAATGAGGTTTTAAGAACTGCTCGTTGGGCTCGCTCAAGTTTCAGGAGTGAGGTTTTATAGGTGCCTCCCCATACCACTACACAGTAATTTAGCAGTGATTGGCAAAGCGACTCGTACACCATTCTAATTGTAGTGGAGTCAGCAACCCCACGCTGGCTCCTGAATACATACATTAGCTTGCGCAAACGTCCCGAAAGCAATTCAATGTTCAATAGAGATAGATCAGCTCGTCTATAAGAAGAAGCTGTGACCAAGGCCCACAGGATTGCAGCGATGGATTATTATAATTATTGTAAATATAAAATGGTCATTTAGAAATATAGTTTTTAGAAAATACTCACATAAGATCTCCGCCACGTACGAATTCGATGACGAAGAACAATCTGCTTGGCGTTTGGAAGCACGAGTGGAGTCCGACCAAAAACGGATGGTTAGAGGCGGTCTCGAACACGTGTTTCTCAGTTTGCACCCAGTCGATGTCCTCATCATCCGTCACCAGAGCCTTCTTTATCACCTTCATGGCGTATACACGCTTGGTTCGCTTCAGCTCCACCATCAGCACCTGGAGAATAGGGATTTCAGTTTAAAATTGATATTGATAGTGTGTATAAATCAGTATTAGCGTAATCTTAATTGTAGATTAGATCATTCTGGCTGGGTTAAATTTAAGTAACTACTGTTATTAATGATTTAATATACAGTGTTAACTCTTTAGAACGAATTTTAAGGGACTGAGTTTTTTCGTTATCGAGAGTGATCGTTATGGGGAGGGAAGAGAAAAAGAAACCAAATATAACAAATTACAATAATTTCCAATTTTATTCCTATCAATAGGTAAATTATTCTTAATACATATATTTCGTTAACTTTGCCTGACATAATACACGATAGGTGACGATGGTGCGTTTAGTAACTGAGACCAGAATTTCCTAAGAATAATGACCTCGGGTGTCTTTCTTAGATATTTCGGCACCTCAAAAGGTTACTTTTGTGAGCTGATTATAAAAACAATTACACTTAAATATGTTGTTGATGTCTAAATATTTTAAAAAAAATTTTCGCTATAGAGCATGGCTGTTGCATTATAAAGAGTGAATAAAAGTATGGGTTTTCTGTTAAACCAAACAAATGTATATTATAGAGAGATTTTCGTTAAAACGAATGACCGTATAGAGTGTTTACACTGTATTACGAATGTGATACAGCTGAAATACTAAGTCATAATTTGTAAATCGCGGCAACTTTCAAGAGTGAAACGAAACGTTATTGAAACTGTCACCCGCACCATGCTACAGCGCACATACTATAGAGTATAGTCGCTTGACTATGTGCCAAAAACATATTGAAGAAACTGGGATGGCTTAGATCTTAAAATTGACGGCGTGCGACACAGATAGACGGCTCAGCACCATGAAAAATGATCAAGAAACAGATACAGAAACCTGCCAAGACCTTAGAAACGACATTGGTGATTTCAAATTATAAAACTTTATCAGTTAGACAGAAGGGCGCTGATACCTGCATCTAAAGCCTATGTTTTTCCTGATATTTTATAGGGATACATTATACGTTACATGTATTTATAGCCCAGTCATATTATCACGTCGGAATAAAATATTAATAAGCTGTAAATTGGTATAAACCTTTGTTTTGTGGTACTAAATGTTGTCTCAAAAGTCACAAGTGCTATCGTGTCCGCGTCTTAATGGACAAGCTTGTCTAAACGCTTCACGATATCCAAGTAATCCCGATGAAGAAAGCGCATAGGATGATGTCAATGAATTGAACATTTTCGAGCGACAACAAGAAGACGACGAAGAACAAGAAGGTTGACCCCTTTTTTACCTAATTTGACTGGGCTATTATGTGTATCAGGCGGAGGAAGCTCTTTACCTATTAAATTAAGAAAAACAATACAGATGCTAAAATCTGAAGACCATAGAGGATACCACTTAATCATGATGCATAGGAAAATTATTAGCTATGCCATACCTTAGCATAAGACCCTCGTCCAATGACCCTGATGAGCTCAAAGTCGTCCAGCGAGTACTGCCTCTGCGAGCCCGGCTCCAAGTCTTCATTTCTGATGGTTGGAGGCAATGGCGCTGGTGGCGTCTCCGGAAGAGGAGGTTCTGGTTCCTCACGAGACCTAAAATTGCCATAAGTATTTATAAACATATGCGTCAGATATCATGAGTTGGCTGTTTCATATTATTACTACTACTTGTCATAGTCCAATGTTAGTATAGCATCTATATTAAAGAAAAAAGGGTTTTTATGTTTCTGTTATAAAAAGAGGTGACTTTCTTGAATTTGTTAGAAAAAAGATACCTTAGTACAGCTCAGTAGATTTAAAATATTCAATCGCCAGGAACATTACTAAATGATATTATTCTTAATTTAGTTTTGTAATTCTTGAACAATTCCAATAACATGTTCTTACAAATACTGTTTGTAAATCGCTTATCACCCGTTACTTTCCTAATAATTTAAGTTTCCTTACTATTTTGTACAATGCAATCAAATCTGGTTCATAATCTGGATATATTGGAGAGACTGGGTCTACCTGAGTAAAAACCTGAGGCGGTAGTCTCAACTTTTGGAAGTATCGCACACTCCAACTTGGTTAGCGAAGCGCCATTCATGCGAGCAATACAAATAATAAACCGAATTTCTATCGAGGGTAGTCCTATTTCTTTGTACACTGAGTTACTGAGTTCACAAGAGTTGCTTGCTATATTGTTGGTTATAAGATTTAGGTATATAATGTGAATTTTTTAAATGTATTTTATGTAGGATAATCGGTGTGGGTATTATTGTTTCTTTTTATCGCATTAGCAGTAACTGTTAAGATATAATAATGATGTGGAATAAAAAAAATAAAAATAATATATGTGTGTTTTCCTTTTTCCACTATGTCAACAATTATATCAGATGTTAACTAATAATTCGTCTATAACAGTTGTGCACTATAACAGTAGTTGTAGTACATTGGTAATAAACCAAGGAGAGTTGGTTATCGTCCTGAGAATTTACTGGAATCGTTAAACTAACAGTTTTAATAGTAGTTGTCTATTAGTATATTATTAAATCATCGATTCCAAGAATGTTATTATCAATAAACCCTTCGAATCGACTTGCAGTTCAAACAATTTGTATGACTCAAAACGAGTGGCGATTAAAAAGAGTGGCGGAGTTACGTCTTGCCATTTCTTCTTGCCCGCCCTTGACTTGCCAACTGGTAGTAAATATGTAATAAGTCCTAATATATAAAAAAATGTAAATTTAGAATCAATTCAACATCTTTTCTGTTGACGCCCATAACGTGTAACTTGGGTACCTATATGAATAAAGTTATATTGAGTTTGAATTTAACCAGATCCAAAAGGACTATTCGCAAGTGCTAGACTTGTTACTATACCTGACTGACGGTGCTCTTCCCAGCGTGCTCTCCCCATTAGCGTCATCCTTAATCTCGATAGGATCAACGTGTTCATTTGAACAGGGCTTTTGCACCAGTTTGTGACACTTCTTATGCACCAGCAGCTTGCATTGGATGCATTTGAACCCTTGTCTGCCGAGACCCCAGATGCGGTCCTGACAGAAGGCACAGAAGGCTCGCTGGAAATTTAAAAGGATTTATGAGAGGATTGTACTGTTTACATACATACCATATAACTTCAAGTGAAAACAAGTAGCTAAGTTTATTTAATGTTCGGTGTTGTATGTTCGTAATGTCTGACAAACCCTTACCATTTTAGAATCATATTTTCGAAGTTAATAATGAACCAAAAACAATTCAGACTTTTCAATTATTATTTTTGTTTAAATTAACTATTGTCTGTGAAATCCGATCAAGCAATGGATTGGCGAAACATAGCAAATTATATTTCCACAATTTCTGTATTTATTTTATTTTTGCTCTCAAACATCACACAACCTTATGAAAATATATTATAGAAAGTAAATACACGTGTGAAAATGACGTAAGAACTTAAGAAGGCACAGCGCTTTTCAGATCTATGCAACTTCCTTACAATCGAGTAGCCTGCGATCTCACACAACTCACGAGTGGACTCTATGTATTGAAGAAGTCGCATGGGTCCGCCAAGCATCCGTGAATATACGATTTAAATACATAATTATGTAGGAATATAATAAGTCAAAAGTAAATAATAATAATAAATAACATAGCAAGGTTGCTAATACGACTCGGCGAAAGGTCTCTATGGAGTTGCTGAAAATGTCCTCAGAGTCATTTTTGATCACAATTTCATTGTATTATTAAATATACTCACTCTATTAAATCGTTTGGCCTGGAATATATGTCCGTTGACGCGGTACAGTTTCCGCCACCGGCGGGCGCCACGCCTGTATATGCTTCCTGAAACACACCGCACATATTAACATCTAGTCACATCTGCATAACTTCTGGGCGCCTGGTACATGAGTTTTAAGACATGCAACATTAGGCAATTTATAAAAATAAAAACCAGTGGCGTTACAACCTTTTTAGGTCTGGGCCTCAGATCTATGCATTTGTTTAATGATCATTTGTCATTCTAATAGGCAAGTAGACGATCAGCCTCCTGTGCTTGACACACGCCATCGACTTTTTGGGTCTAAGGCATGTATGCCGGTTTCCTCACGATGTTTTTCGTGTGTTCGAGCGAATGTTAAATGCACATATAGACAGCAAGTCCATTGGTGCTCAGCCGGGGTTCGACCTTACTACCTCAAGGATGAGGTCGCACGCTGAAGCAACTAAGCCTATTTACTACTAACTTTAAATAAAGTTACTGCCACGGTTGCATTATTATAAATTCTGTCTCAAATATCTCAGGGAATTTACATTTCTTGATGAAATATAAATTTCAAAGGCTCCGTTATGAAAAAGCAAGATGGTATTAAATTTAATTAAGTTTTAATTAAGACTAACGAAAAGTTACCTCCGAATGTAACTTTACGAACAACAGACTACAATTTCATGATTAAAAGTTTCTACGGTTATGAATTAAATTTGAATCGTTTTAAAAATTTTAAAATAGTTTAAATATTTTTTTTCATTACCATAATAATCACAGGAACATAAATTCTAACCCCATAAAAAAATCAGTCTAAAGTGCTAAACAGTGGTAAGTGGAAAAATAGTAAACAAGAACCATCTTCCCCATAATAGAGACTGTAAGACGTAAGTAGTGTAATTGGACTCTTTATTAGGAAATAAGTTAGTTTTAAATTACTTATTAGTATAAAGTTAGTCTAGATAGTAATGTTAATATGTGTCTTTGTGACAATTTATAAATAAAATAAGTGCGTGCGTACAAAGTACACATTTTTAAGTCTTGTTCATATTTATACAAATCTAAAACTTTAGATTTCCAAGACTTAGATGGAGTGAAAAAGTAAGATATGTTAGAAACTTAATGAGTTTAATTGTCATTAAAATATTAAAGTGTCGAAAATTAATACAAATTATAAATTTAATTTTTTAAATTTATTTCTTTGATAATAAAATCACGAGGCATTTACAATTCGTCATTTGAGATTTCAATAAATTATTTTGTATAAAATACTAATATTGCATAAATTCTCTTTATGAAATTTTAATTTTAAATTCGCCCTTCACACTCTCTCAATCGGTCTCAATCGCTCTCTCCCTTTTCTTTGACAAAAACGCTGCACATCTTCGTGACATTCCGTAAAAAATTTACTATCATGCGCCTAAAGAAGTTTCACTTCAAAAAGTCTAAAATATGCACTCTTTTAACTAAAGTAGAGGCTAACGGTAGTAGGAAATCTTATATAAAGATATGTAAAGATCCCGTCATTAAGGGTCATAACTCTATTCTCTTTGACCAAGGTAGCAAAGTGAAAGAGTAATCATCTTAATGGCTGAAAGCACTAAGCTCTAATGTATCATTTTCTTTCCAAGAAATGTAATATTAGGATATTTATATTAGAGATGACGAGGTCAGTGACTTTCGTGCGTCTCTCGAACCTGAGGTCGCGTTTTCGCATCACGTCTGTTCAACAAAGGATTATTCTTTTTATATAAAGCATTTAACCTTCGCCGGTATAAACACATTTTTGTAACTTATATATATTTTTGTATATAATTTAATATGTGGCATAAATAAATAGTGGCATCAGCGTGCAGCTCTCATCCCTGGGATCGTAGATTCGATTCTCGGCTGTGCATCAATGGATTTTTCTTTTTATTAGACCTTTCACTTAGACCGTCATGCCTTAGACCCTAAAAAGTCGACGGTGTGTGTCAGGCAAAGAAGGTTGATCATCTACTTGCCTATTGGAAATGAGCAACAGATACAGAAATTTGAGGCTCAGATCTAAAACGTTGGTATATTTTCGAGATGGTATATAAATATTCAAAAATGCTTAGTGAAAAGTTAATATAAATGCTTTGAATAAATTAAAGTCGTAAGACAGAATGAACATTTACTAATGCGATTTGCTCCGTCTCCAAGATACATTGTTTGTGTTACAATTAGTGTATGTCATTTGCATACCGCGCGTATTTGCCATTTGAAATTTGATTATGATAATTTGTTTTTGAACTTTCCTGTACAATAGCTGTCAGGCGAACTAATTAAATGTCTAGTTATTTATTTATTCTATTATTTAGACTGTGCAATCTGCAGAGTCCAAAAACTCCCGATACGTTTAAAAGCTTGCTTTGCTATATTTTGTAATGTTTGGTCTTTTTTTTAATAATTACTTATATCATAAGCATTATATATGTCAGAGATTATGTAATAAATAAACACGATGTCATTTGTTTTATTAGAATGTCAACACCACGCAATATCATAGACATCTAAGAGGTTGTAAGATTTCAATACGTAATAATTTAAACTTCCCTGTCTGACACTAATTATTCTAAATTTGCCCTTTTAGAGTAAATTTAGTAAAATCGGCTTTTATATTTGGCATCAACCTAAGAATAGAAAAGGAAAGAAACAAGTTATACATATATGTATGTCGCAGATGAACTCGACGATCGATTCTACGCACTATTGACAGACTTTGATGTTTTTACGCATTCACACACAAACAAGTCTACACCCTGATTTTTAATTACGTAGAATTCTGATAGCTATAATTTTTGACATGTCAGTGAAGGCAAACCTTTTTGGCCGGGACATTTTTCATGTTCAATACGAGTCTGAACATACATTAATTTATTGTTAGCTAAGGTATCCATTTTATTAAGTGCGGTTCTCCACATTAAAAGGTTTACTAAACCTGGAATTAGTAGGCAGTGATGCCAGCTAAAGAATAAAATAAAGTAATTAAAGTTTATTCGATATATTGTTGGTGATATTGAAATATTTGTTACTTTTGTATTAGGTCACTTGAGTATGTAAATATTTAGTTTACCTTTTTGTAGATAAATTATAAAAAATACGTAGCATTTTTTTTATTACTGTCAAATAAGTCAAATTTGTCCCTTTTTCGGTGGAGAACTTTTTTTTAGTAGCAACACTTATGAAATGTCAGAATTCTACGGAATTAAAAATCAGATTATATAAGTTTAAAATTCACCATTAAAGTAGTAAAATAAAATCATTTGCAGTGTCATCAATCTGTACTTTGTCCTTGAAACTTTATCGAGATTCCATCGGGGACCATGACCGTCATGAGCCTCCCAAGTTCCGCCATGTTGTGATATAGATTTACTATATTCTAGAGGAAGGAGCTAAGAAGCAAATTATGTATGAGTCAATATGAGAGCGTGAACAAACACGGACGTTACACCATACATCTTTGATGTTTCGATTAGCTACTTCTGTTTAATTGCTTTGTTATTCATGGCTACTGTATGCTTGTAAGGCGAAGTTAACTTAGTAGATATCGTTTCGTAATATTATTATTAAACAACGAGTGATTTTAAATACCACCTTGTTTGGCCTTTACACAAAATATACAATATCTTATTGGTGCATTACATTTTTATTACGATTTTGCATATAATTTTTTTGTTAATTACACGTACGGACACATATTCTGTTGTACATGGTCGTACTTCTGTTTGTGAAAATACGTAATCTGAGCACTTTTTAAGTTACAAAAATCATTTTTTTTACGGGACAAGAGGCAAACGAGCAAATTTTTTACCGGTCTTTAAGGTAGTGGTATGCTCTACTCTTGAAGTACTTAAGCCTTAACGGTTCGGAAACACCTGCAAGGGTAGCTGGTTCCATAAAGTGGTGGTACGCGGAAGGAAGTTTATTAACAAGCGGTTTGTTGTGGAACGCCAGAAGTCAATTCAATTTTCTATTATAATAGCTTTTTTTATTTGATGTTTTATTCAAGCCTTAGGTATAAAGTAATATCTAAAGCAGTACAGGTGTGTCAAAAATCGATGGAACGATGATAGGAAAGAAAAGAGTTAATATAGTAAGGAATACATCATTAAGAATAATAACTAAGGCAGCAGCAGGGCAAGAGGAACAGAAAAGCAGCGTAATAGAGCAGCAAAGTAATAAACTGGTGCCCAAAGTAAATAAACGCAAAAGAGGAAGACAATTAAGACCAGATTAAGGAAACAACAGGTGGTACATGTTAGAGAGTGGCACAGTGCAGAGGATTTGAAGGAGGCCTTTACCAAACACACATTTAAAAATAATGAGATGACAGAAATGTGTTTAAGTGTCTGAAATAACAGGCTCTTATTATTATAATATCTATGTACAGTTCGTCTTCGTTATTTTATATCATAAATGGGGTTTGAAAATACATATAATAAGCGTTTATAATAAATAAATGTCTCGTGTTATACTGTCTGAGTCTCAGATTTATGTATCTGTTTCAAGAGCGTTTGTCAATCAAATAGGCAAGTAGGTCATCAGCCTCCTGTGTCTGACACACGCCGTCAACTTTTTTTTGTTTTAAAGCAAGCGGATTCCTTACGATGTTTTCCTTCACCATTCGAGCGAATGTTAAATGCGGACATTGAAAGAAAGTCTGTTGGAGCACAGCCGAGGTTCGAAACTAGGCCCTCAGAGAACATCGCACGCTGAAGCCACTAGGCAAACACTTCTTTCCGTGTTTATAATAATCAGTGAATTATCAATATAATCGTAACAAAATACGTAGTATACTTGTGTTAAATTTTAGATTCTATTCAGTTGATATAGACTACTCAAAAAGTCAACATAAGAGCTCCAGTAGTTACTATTTATAAGCCGGTCTTGGACCCAGAAAGCTGACTTTGACCCAGAATACGTGACATTTTCTCATTCTTCCCACTTAAATATTAAATAAGCGTACACTTTGAATAATTCCCGAGCGTAGACACTGGGTACTGTGCTAACATTTTTATAATATTTCTAATTAAAACCAAGTTTACTGAAAATAGCCAATAACACTATTTAATTAAATTGAGACTATTGTTGCAGGTTTCGGAGCTCGGAACTTATTCTAAAATACAGAAATAATAATAATTAATAACTGTCTAACTTTTAAGTAAAGTATATTTAAAAAAACTTATATTTGCTATCAAGCGTACATATTAAAATTTTTCTTTAACACGAATGCAATAACATTTAAAATACAATGTCAGCGAAAAATTAAGTAGTTTAAATCAGAAAAACGAAATCACGCTTTTTTCGCTGTGAGGAAAAGAGACAGTCAAAAATTACTGTTTTAGACGTCATCTTTTCTGATCTTTTTAATGTTTTCATTCACTTTAATTATTTGCACATAATAAAATACAAAGCCGCACTTGAACGCTTATTAGATTTGTGTGTCGCGAGCCGAGACGTCTTTATCTAGTTAAATACTGTTAACCTATTGGCTAATACAGCCTTAATTATAAATATTATAATTATGTTAGCAGAATACCCTGTTTTTACGCTCGTTTAATTATTTTATTTAAAGCCCTTTAACAACCTATTAGACAGAAGTTTCCTACACTTTTTTGTGCACTGTCACATACATAATTTTTAATTAAAAAAAATTGTTCAGTTAAAAAACTGAAAGCAAGAAATTACTAGGAAATTGTTAACGAAACATAGTAAGTAAATTTTCAAAACATAATGCATAACTGAAATTAATATTCCAAATAATTAAAAAAAAATCGAATAGCCCCTTTACACTCAAATTGCCCCTTATGGGGCGTGGGACCCACGTTGGGAAACACTGTATTGGACTAAGACACATATATACTATACTCAATCAGCGCAAGAGCCTGATGAGATTTCATAACCACTGACCACAAGATTAAATTAGCAACCAGGAGCAACGCTTGGAACGCATTCTGTTTGAGAAATTATATCTACACTGTCATAAACAGAACTTTGATTTTTGTTAATTAAAATTAATTGTTCAGTTTCGTCTTCCTACACATTTGTCTTATACATCGTATTTATATACAATCTATATTTAATCTATACAATCTATATATTAGATTTATTTATGATAATAGTAATAATAATCCATACAATAGCATACATATCACATTTACATTGCAGATATCGTAACATGCTAAATTGTGTTAGCGCTTTTAACAAAACTTTGTTTTCGATTGATAATAGATATTGTACATAACATATAGTATATATACATATAAACAGAAAAATATTGTATTGTGTTATTTCTGTAAATTGTGTAACATCTCTATTGTCAGTGCATCTTTGCGAGTTATTTCAACTGGAAAGGGTCCTCAAATCTAACAATGGTCATATGTTTTTTTTATGTAGGTGAAAAATTTATGTCGTATGGTGAACAAAACGGAAACATTTAGTGAGTGAGTGTGAGATTCAGATTTTTTTTACGGAAAGGTTATTCTCACATTTTTTTCTTATGCATGAACGAATCGTCAAACTCCAGAAATATAATAAGAATACATTTGTAGTACTTTGAATTTCGAGTCACAGAAAATAATTTTCACGCAAACATAAAATTGTTACCGAAGGTATTTTGGAATACATTAAAATATGTGATAACATAAAATTTTGCCGGAAAACGTATGACTAGAACCTTTAAGCAATGCGATCGTATATTTTAACTTCTCGGTTGACCAAATATAATTAACCAGGGGATTTTTTATTCAATCCGTATATATTGATATCCGATTATTGGAAAAGTATTATGACATGTATTTTAACTATAAAACCGGGCGTTTGTCTAATTATATGTACGGTGTGATGTACCTATAGCATATATATAAGCATTTTGTTATAAGCAATTTAACTGATTATTTTTTATGCCTGCGGTATTTATTTTCAATGTGTTTTGTGCATGTGAGCTATGGATAATAATACTCACTGTCCTCTCCAGCACATGGCATCCCAGGCGCGGCGGGTACATTGGGGAATACTGAAACAAAGAAAACCCTGATTAATTAAGGCTCTATTATTATATATTAATAATATTATTTAAAGATTAAAAATAGAAATATAATTTATTTATTTAAAAAAATCTAAATTTAGATTTAATACTAGTTCTCAAACTAAGAGCATCTAAGACCGGACGAGAAACGGCAATAAACTGTCCGAAACACTTTTAAATCGCCTAGGTTT